TAGCACGAGCACTCGGCAGGACGTTAGGATGACATGCACTCAGAATGACGTGCATCCAACATCCGGCTCCCAACTGATAACCACCTTCACCCAGCTATGGGGCCAGACTCGTGAACGCTGAACCCTTCGGTGTTTTATACTCGCGTGTGCGCTTCTCACTCGCCGCTATCCTCTCTCTCTCACTCTCTCCCTAACCTCGGTGCAGACGGTTACCACATCATGCGAGCCCTCGGGAACAACATCACGTACCACTCGCCGTCGCGCGGGTTCTCGATGGAGCTGGGCTCTGCCCTCTCCGTCATCACCGTGTCGTTCCTCGCACTACCGGTCTCCACCACGCAGTGCATCGTCGGCGCGACCATCGCCGTGGGGCTGTGCAACGGTAACTGGCGGGCGATTAACTGGGGCATGGTGGCCATCGCTGGGTTCGGATGGGTTCTCACGCTCCCCGTGGCAGCCTTGTGGGCCGGCCTGCTCTATGCCATCCTCACCCGCGGCCCCAGCTTCACCATGCCGCCCTGCATGTAAGCTTGAGAGAGGATGATAATTAAAGATTGGCTAGAGTTTGGCGGGGTTAGGAGGGATTCTCTGGTTCACTAAAGTCTCTTATCATTGTCGCAAAAATGGAGGGGGTCTTGAACCACTAAAAGCTGTTGTATATCCAGTGCCAGGGCTTGGGGGCAAGGTTGCCTGCCGCAAATATAGCTGCTGAGACGGCGCACGTGGGAAAAAAAAAAAAGGACCGCCCGAGGCGCGCGCGGGCAGCCGAGGCGCGCGTAGGCACTAGGTAAGACAGGCAATCGTGGTGGGCCCTAATCGTAGGTCCTAAGGACCTATGCTCTATACCATGTCAGAATCCCATAACCCATATACACTGCGGACAAGCTCTCCCCTCGCGCCATTCCTTGCGTCTTCCTTGGCTTTGTCCCTGACGCGCCTGGCTGGCAGTTTTACGACCCCGCCTCGCACCGTGTCTTTGCGTCTCAGGACGTCACCTTTGACGAGTCCGTCCCCTTTTACCGCCTCTTCCCCTATCGCACTGCTCCTCGCCCCCCCCCGCCGCTCTTTCTCGCCCCAGGTCCTCCCCAGGTAGACCCCCTCCCCGCGCCAGGTCCTGCTCCTTCAGGTGTCTCTCAGGTAGACCCCCCCCGCGCCTGCGCCTGTTGAGGTCACTGGTGACTCCGGTCCTGCTGCGAGTGGTGCTGTCCCTGGGGGTGCGGAGCTTGGGGGTGCTGAGTCTGGGGGCGCTGAGCGTGAGGAGCCTAGGGGTGCTGCGTCTGGAGGTGCTGCGTCTGGGGGTGCTGAGCCTGCGTGTGCGGAGCCTGGGGGTGCTGAGTCTGGGGGTGAGTCGCCTGAGGGTTCTGCGACTGTTTTTCCGCGGTCTCCTTGGAGTAGCCGTCTTCGTCCGCGTGTGCCCCTCACCTCCCAGCAGCTGCACGACTGGTACGGTCGCCGTCAGCGTCGCGCTTCTGCACCTCAGGGCTCTACTGCTGGGGGTTCTTCTGCTGGTGTCGCTGGTCCCGGAGGTGCTCGTACTGAGGGTACTGGAGCTGCTGGGGCTGGCGGTGTTGTGACTGAGGGTACTGGCGCTGCAGAGGGTGCTGGAGCTGCTGGAGGTACTGGAGCTGCTGGAGATGCTGGCGGTGCTGGAGCTGCTGAGGGTACTGGAGCTACTAGCGGTGCTGGAGCTGCTGAGGGTACTGGAGCTGCTGGAGGTGCTGGACCTGCTAAGGGTCCTGGAGCTACTGGCGGTGCTGGAGCTGCTGGAGGTGCTGGAGCTGCTGGAGGTGCTGGAGCTGCTGGTGCTGGTGGCACTGCTCAGCAGCGCCTGTTCTTCGCTCCGCCGTCTCCGTCGTCTCAGCCACCACCTGACTCTGCACTTCGCCAGGTTCTCAGTCTTCCCTCGTCCACTGGTCTTCCGTTACAGCCTGGCTCACCGCTGCCTGCTCCTTCTCTGTACACAGAGCAGACTAGGGGCCTTGCTGAGCGTCGTGAGCCTGCGTCGCGTCCTGTCTCACCTGTCCGCTCTGGTCGTTCCAGTCGTCGTGTTCCTCGTCAGCGGCAGCCGGCTGTCTCCGGCTCTCACCTTGTAGTTCGTCGTCCTTCCTCTCCTCCGCTGCGTGTTCCTCTGCCGTCTCCCCCTGCGTCCTCTCTGCCTGTCGTTGCTGACCCTGCGTCTGACCAGTTTCGTGCTGAGCACTCTACTGTCACGCGTCTTCTTGCCACTGTTGTCACTGACCCGTCGTTTGGGTCTGCTGCTGCGTCTGCCTTAGTCGCTGAGTTTGTTGACTTTGCTGCTGCCTGTCGTCTCGACTACGCCGCCAGTCTTGTTGCTGAGTCTGAGTCTGTCTGTCCTCCGTCCGTCGGGGGTGAGTGTGCTCTCGGCACAGACGTCCTTGAGGACAGACAGGAGGACCTTGAGTGTCTTGCAGCCACTGCGCCTCATCTCGTATCCATGCTGCTTGCCCCTGAGGGAGACCCGGATGCACCAGACATCCCTACCCCGCGCTCTTACGCTGAGGCGATCGCGGGTGAGCACTCGTCTCAGTGGCAGACAGCCATGGATGCAGAGATGGCATCCTGGAAGTCCACAGGCACCTGCGTCGACGAGGTTCCCCCTCCTGGGGCGAACATTGTCAGTGGCATGTGGATTTTCAGGGTGAAGCGGCCGCCAGGTTCTCCGCCTGTCTTCAAGGTTCGGTACGTGGCTCGAGGCTTCAGTCAGCGAGAGGGAGTTGACTTCTTCCAGACCTTCTCCCCCACCCCGAAGATGACCACTCTTCGGGTGCTGCTGCACGTTGCCGCTCAGCGTGACTACGAGCTTCACTCTCTTGACTTCAGCACAGCCTTCTTACAGGGCAGCCTGCACGAGGAGATTTGGCTGCGCCGCCCTCCTGGCTTCACTGGGTCGTTCCCTCCTGGTACCCAGTGGAGCCTCCGGCGGCCAATCTACGGTCTCCGCCAGGCGCCACGTGAGTGGCACGACACACTAAGGACGACACTTGCGGCTCTTGGGTTTGCTCCGTCGACTGCTGACCCGTCGCTGTTTTTGCGCACCGACACTTCTCTGCCGCCGTTCTACGTTCTCGTGTACGTCGACGACTTGGTCTTTGCCACTGCTGACACTGAGGCTCTCGCCCTGGTGAAGTCGGAGCTGCAGAAGAGACACACGTGCACAGACCTGGGTGAACTGCGCAGCTACCTTGGCTTGCAGATCACCCGGGACAGAGCATGCCGCACCATCACTCTGACTCAGTCACACATGGTGCAGCAGGTCCTTCAGCGCTTCGGTTTCACCTGGTCCTCAGCACAGGCCACTCCTCTGGCTACAGGTCACTCGCTCTCAGCTCCACCTTCGGACGAGTCCGTAGAGCCGAGTGGTCCTTACCCAGAGTTAGTGGGCTGCCTCATGTACCTGATGACTTGCACTCGTCCTGACCTTGCGTACCCTCTTGGCCTTCTGGCTCGCTACGTGGCTCCTGGTCAGCACCGAAAGGTGCACATGGATGCTGCCAAGAGGGTACTACGCTACTTGTGCAGTACATCGGGCATGGGACTCGTGCTTGGAGGACGGGGTGACGTTGTCCTCACAGGTCACTCGGACGCCTCTTGGGTTGACGACCAGGCTACGCAGCGGTCGTCACAGGGTTACACCTTCAGCCTTGGTTCTGGTTCAGTTTCCTGGCGTTCTACACGTTCGTCTTCAGTTCTCGGCTCCAGCTGTGAGGCAGAGATCTACGCCACAGCCATGGCTGCACAGGAGCTGCGCTGGCTCACCTACCTGCTGACCGACTTGGGAGAGAGGCCTCGTTCTCCTCCAGTTCTGTACGTCGACAACAAGGCCGCCATTGCCTTGTGTCAGGAGCACAGACTGGAGCACAGAACAAAGCACATCGCTCTCCGTTACTTTCTTGCTCGAGAGCTGCAGCAACGTGGCCAGCTTCGTCTTACCTACGTGGCCACTCGGGCCAACACTGCTGATATATTCACCAAGGCGCTTCCGCCTGGTGATCATCAGCGTTTCTGCACTTTGTTAGGCCTTGTGCCCACTCTTCCTCACTTGCTGTAGGCCTTGTTTGTACCATGATTTATATGTATTCCTGCATGCTTGTTCTTGTAGGTAGATATCACTGTACTGTTGTTACATATATATTTCTGCATGTGAACTGGCCTTGTGGCCTTCTTGCTTGTGCTCAGACTACGTGGTGACGTTGTGATCCACCCTGAGCTTTCTTTGCACTTCCTGACTGGTCTTGTGACCCTCTGTTCTCCCCCACTTTGCCTATGGGGGTGTGTCAAACATATGTGTATATTTGTTATAGTTTGGTTAGGCTTAGTGGGGTACTCACTGTGGGGTACAACCCCTTAGGTTTCTCCTTTGTATCTTTTCCCCTCGATAGTCGACACAACTTTCCCGTAAGATTATGACATTCTGACGGCTTGTTTTTTTGGTGGCGGTACGATTTCTGGGCGTGGGCGCGGTACGATTTCAGGGCCCAACAATTTTTGGATGGGATTCGTTATGCGCCAGTTTGTTTCGTTAGGGCAAAGTTTTTGACACAGACTGAACGGCCATGGCGAGATTCTGGGGAGGTCATGTTTCGCCTACATGAATATGCTAATTTGTTGATAGAAACTCTGGAGAACACGACAAAACCCTCAAGAGTTTGCCTAACTCTTCTTCATTTGTTGGGTTGCGTAACAACCTTATTCACTTCGTTTCACTTCAGGAGAACTGATATGAACAGTGATTCCCCCCCCCCATCAGTTTGAAAATACTATTCATATTTAATGGGTGTCAGAAAGAAAAATGGGTGTCAGGAGGAAGAATGGGTGTCAAGAGGAAGAATGGGTGTCAGAAGGAGCATCAGGTGTGAGAAGGTGAGCAGTCCGTGTCAGAAGGCGAGCAGTCCGTGTCAGAAGGCGAGCAATCCGTGTCAGAAGGCGAGCAGTCCGTGTCAGAAGGCGAGCAATCCGTGTCAGAAGGTGAGCAATGGGAATCACAATGATTCTTGCATCGTTAATTCAGACAGCAAGCCTGTGTACACCGGGGACTGCCTGAGAAGTCTAAAATCTTCGTCACTCAGCAAATCTCCCTTGGAGAGCCAACCAATCACGGCCAGCCTGGCAAGAATGTCTGCTGACTCAGCAAGCAGCCCTGCCAGCGCAGCAGCACACGCCATGTTGTAAAGCACACCGCATTGATCTGCATATGACATGACATCCGTAGCTGCGTGGGTTGATATGAGAGGGGACAGCAAGGGACAGGGGGATGAAGCCTTGACGCAGTGCAAGGATGCAAGGCCATACGGCAATGTAATGAACCGTTGCTTGACACCACAAGGCAATGTAATGAACCGTTGCTTGACACCACAAGGCAATGTAATGAACCGTTGCTTGACACCACAAGGCAATGTAATGAACCATTGCTTGCTCATGCGGGCAGCAAACGTGGATGGATGGGCGGATGGATGGAGTCCCATGGGTGCATGCATGAATGAGCTCAGAGCGGCAGTGCACACCTTTCATTGCCACCATGGCAGCACGGTACGCTGACATGGCATGCTGCAAGTGGTCCACCGCCTCTTGAGGCAGTGATGCTGCCACCTCATCCCCACCACCCATGCCTTCTCCACCACCCTCCCTGCGGCCACCACCGCCGCCCCTCTCCCTGCCCGCCGTCCACCCCATAAGCAGCCGGGCGGCAGACAGGTGCACATCTGCCGCCCCCAGGAGCGCTTCTGGATGGCGAGAGTCGATTCGCAGGGCGGCAGAGAACCCGCGGGAGAGAGAGAGGGAGAGGAGGTGCAGGGCCTCCTGTAGGCTGCTGGATGAGGATGCTGATTGGGCCCTCCGTGCAGATAGCACCTCCCCTTGCGCAGATAACACCTCCCCCAGAGCCAGACGAGAGGCGATATCTGTGGGCTGGAAATCGGCTGCCCTTTGAAGCTTCTCCGCAGCTTCCGTCAGAAGCCGAACCTCCTGGTCAGGTTCAGGGCAGCGCTGTAGGGCAAGAGGAATGAGAGGGAGAGAACGGACAGGTAGAATGAGAGGAGCGGGTGAGTACAAATGAGATGTCGGGGAATGAAGTCACAAGCTGCCGCAGGCGGACATGCTGAACACGGATGGTAGAGAGGTTGGAACTTGGACCTGTCCTTACCACCTCACCTGATTGGCGGAGAGCAGGAGAGCAGCTCACCTGAGCGGCGGACAGCAGTCCCACGCCCCAGTTGTGCAGCAGCCCTGGCATGTCGTCCCCCACCCGCGCATCACACAGCGAGCACGCTGCACCGTACGCCCCCATGCCCCTCTCGTACTGCCCCCACGCCCCCCCCCATGCCGTCACCGCGCGCTCGCCCACTGGCCGCTCTGGACACTGGTGGGGGGTTGCAAGGAGGAAGGGGGAAGGGGGAAAGGGAAGGTTCGGGGGAGAAGGGCATCAGGAAGGCTCAGGGATGGGGTGAGGGGCGGAATCCGGGGGGGGGTGCTGCCACCACTGCTGTCCACACTCGTGCCCGGTGCCCTGTGCCCCGTGCCTTGTGCCTCATGGGGCATGGGTGCCACCTCACCATGAGCTCAGCAGTCTTGACAGCGCAGTCCCCGAGGTTGGAGAGCAGGTCCGTGTCATTTGGTGCCGCGCCTGCTGCTGCATCGTACTGCACTGCTGCCTCACGCAGCAGCTGCACCACCCTCACTGCTCTCACCCCACCTTGCTCCGCCTGCTCCTGCTCATGCCGTGCCTGCGCCTGCTGCTGCTCCCCCCCATCCACCGCCACACCCTCGCATGCTCCTTCCCCGCGCTCCTCTTCCTTGACCTCCTCCTCCCCACCCTCCTCCACCTCCCCCACCGCCTCTGCCCATGCCACCAGCGCATTGGCCGCATTCACTGCCGCCCCTTGGACCATCTCCGCCACGTCAGCGTCCCCGCCACCCTCCCCCCCTCCCCTCCCTCTGCCTCCTCTCCCGCCTCCTCCGCTGCTGACGTCAGTGGCTGACAGGGCACCCCCTGCTGAGTCAGCAGAGCGAAGGGTGGGGCCAGCACGACAGATCTCGTCGAATGCCTCGAATGCGAGTCGGCACGAGTCAGCAGCTGACGTGGCAGCCTCCCTCTCCAGCCGTTTCACCGCTTGTCACATCAGCACAGGCTGACTCATTGGCCCCCCTGCCGCCCGTTTCCCGTCTGCTAGCTGCGCATCCCCGAGCCCCAGATACACCTCCCCCATGTCAAACAAAACGGAGAGGCGGGCAGCGGGGGAGAGGGCGGGGGAGGAGAGGGCAGTGTGATAGTAACGAAGGGATGCTTCGAAGTGGTCGGTTGCTGGGCCCTTGAGAATGGTTGGGGCGGCAGTGGTGGTGACAGTAAAGGGGGGGACTGAGGTGGTGGGGTGACTGCTGCTGCTGCTGCTGCTGCTGGTACTGTGGGTGGCACCGCTGTTGTCACATTCCAATACAGTCACAGCTGTGCTGCTGAGTCGTCTCTGCCCTGCCTGCTTCCTCCTGCCAGCCTCTTAAGAGGAAGGGGGGAGGGGGGAGCGGGGGAAGGTGGGGGGAGGTGGGGAAGTTGTGGATTGGCATAACCATGTGGGGGGGGACTGAGGGGGAGTGGGGGAGGAAGCAAGATCAGGAGTGGGGGAAAGGGAGCGAGGGAGGGCGGAGGGAAGGGCGGAGCGAAGGGAAGGGAATGGGGGGCGGGGATCAGGGCGACAACCGGCACCCAAGTTTGGAACGTGTAGTCCCGACCCTCCCCCCTCCCCCCCCTCTCCCCCCTGCATCCCGCACCCCCTCCAACCGTCCGCCCCTCATTCCAGAGGTTCTGAGGTCCATCAACCACACCTCCTCACCCCCATCCCTCCCCCACCCGTCCTTCCTCGTCCCGCAACCCCCCACTCTCCCCGCACCTTCCAGCAGCGAATGCAGCGCCTCTTCTTCCGCCGTCACCGCCCGCCCTTGCGCCCGCCGCCCGCCTCCGCGCGCACCTCTCTGCGCCTCCGCCCTTCCCCGCGGATGGCGCCCTCCGCTGAAGCTACCGCTTCCGCCACCCGCCTCTGCTTCTTGCCGGCGACTGCCCCGCCCCCACGCGCGCCCCCCTCGGGAAGCCATCTGGCAATGTCAGCGCAGTAAATTCGGTAGGCCTGAACTTGTTAAAACCAGTGATCAATGGTGAGCTGCAATGGATGAGCTTTTAACGGCTAGGATTCGACGATCTGGCGGTTTCTGTGGCTCAACTCACGAAATGCAGCGACACTCGGCTTGGATTGGGCTCGGCTCTTTCGCTTGGAATCGGAGACTAGCATATAATGGTTGAGATAAGTCGAGAGCGCTGATTGGTGGAATTCGCGATACGACATTTGTCCCAGTTGACGCGCTGCTGTTGCTGCTTGTGGTGAATCTGTGAAACGCACTCTCAGCGCCTCCCCTGCATCCAGCTTGTGAGACGGTGGAGTGCGGCTGGCAGACTGGTGCTTGTTGGAAAGTTATCCGATATTAGCATCCCGCTTCATTGCAAAGCCTTATGTTTGAATATACCACAATCATGTGTATTTAGTTGAGTGTCGATGCACTACAAGTGATACATGATTATTTCCTCTTTCGCCTACTCGGGGGATTAGCTAGGAGATGCCACACAACAAAATCAAATCACCGCATGTTAGCAGTATCTGAATCACTTTGAACTCCGAATGCCTTGGCTAGGGACGCTTGGAACACCCCCCTTTCCTTCAGTCTCTGGTGGCAGTTGAAGCGCAGTGACACCATCACCTGCATCCACACACCACCACATCAAATACACCAAGGCGGACCTTTAATGTGAGTCCAAGTTTAGATAATCGTGTCAGGTATGCACACAATGCGGCATACACGAGCTCATCGTGGAATGAAGTTGAATTAATTAAAAAAAAAGCCACATCTGTCACGACAGTGGCAGCACCTCACCTGCTCGTCCAAGTCCTCATAGTGAAACGGCACCGGACCAGGTACATCCAGAGCTGACATCCCACCTCCCCCACCACCACCTCCCCCAGCAGCCCCCACTCCACCTGCCCCACCCGTCTCCTCCCCACGCGCCCCACCCGCCCCTTCAACAGCTGCAGGTGCAGCCTGGCCGGAGCCCCCCTCCCCCAGGTACCACCTGAGGCGCTTCTCACAGTACTCGCACTGGGCAGTGGTGGTGGGGGGGCCAGCAGCGGTGACATGGGGAGGGCGGGCGGTGCAGGGCAGCAGGCGGATGGACTGAAAGAGCACGTCCACTCGGAAATCCACCACCACCGGGCTGGCTGGAGGGGGTGCAGCAGGCACGTCTGATGGGAGGACGGGTGGGAGGTTGCTCTGCTGTGGGGGGCCCTAGCGGCGCGGCCAGAGGGAGAGGAGAGGTGGCAGACACGAGCGGTAGGGCACAGCAACCCCATCCGGGTCGTCCTCTTGGGCATCATCCTCTCACCTGCCCGAGTCGCTGCTTCTCGCCGCGTCCTCATGAGGGGCGAAGGAGCTCTTGTCGCCATCCTCGTCATCCGTGCTGCCGTGTGAGGCAGCAGCAGCGTCATGCAGAGCGTGCAAGTGTAATGCGGGTTGAGTCAGCGGCGACAGGGCGCACGGGTGGGAGAAGGAGGCCGGCAAACACTGCAGCCTGCAGGCCGCACCTGCCTGCTTCTCGCCTGCGCTGCATTCACCACCCACTGCACCCAATTCCCCGTCCGCCTCCGCTCGCTCTGCAGCACCAGTGGACGCGTGGCGAGGATGGAAAGGCGAGGAGGGGGGCGATGAAGGGGGCGATGAAAGGGAGTCGGTGCCGTCGTTGCTGCTGGTGTCGGGCGCGTTGGAACACGGGTCGAAGGAGAGAGCGAGGGCGGATGGAATAGGCAACCCAGCCCGCTCGTCCCTCCACCCGCACCCGTCGAGCTCCCCCCATTCTTGCTCCGCCCGAACCACCTCCCCTGCCGCCTGCTCCCCATTCCCCTGCTTTTCATTCCCCTGCTTCTCATTCCCCCGCCACTGCTGCTGCTGCTGCGGCTGCGGCGCTCTCTGTCCTCCTTGCCAGTGCAGCTTTCCCCGCCGTTCAATTCCTCCCCGCGCGGCTGTCGTCAGTGCAGTCATCCTCAGCGCCGGGGAGTGCGCGCCGGAGCAGCACCACCACGCGCTGGCCACCGCATGCCTGCGCCCACTTCTCTTCCCCGCGTCTCCGCCATGTGCGCCTGCTATTCCGCACCTCCCGCCGGTCGGCAACACGCGCGTCCCACCTGCCGCCTTCCGCCGGCTCCCTAGACTAGCGGCGGATTCTTTCACACCCAGTGCACGGCTCTGCAGCCAGTGTCCTCGCGACTTTCTCGGCGACACTTTGAGCTGCGCAGTTCCCGCGGAGCAATTTAAGCGAGCCTCCAACTCCGCGTCCGCATCCCGCGGCAGCGCCGGGTCGCAAGTGAATGGCGCGAATCGGCCCTGCCCCAGATGCCAGCCCTGGAACCAGTGGAGATTAATCTCCCCGGGCGAGTAGAAATACTGCGTGTACCCGAGCAATTGCCCCGCGACGCGCATCTCCACGCGGAACGGCGCTCGGAAGCTCGCTTGCGCCACCAAGGTGAACGGCTCGCCCGCGCGGCACACCACCACTGCCTCCGTGGCGCTTGCGCTCGGCGCAGCGCGTAATTCCGCGCTCTGAGAGGCGTTGGGCGGCTGGCGCGGAATGTGGCCGTCGGGCAATTGCGCGGTGGCGTGCGGAGGCCGCGCGGAGGTGTCACACGCGCTGCTTGAGAGGCGGCTGATGAGACCGATTTCATAGGGGCTCATGGGACTGCTCGGGTCGCTGTTGCCGCTGCTGCTGCTACTGTTGCTGCTGCTGCCGCTGCTCTTGAAGGTTCCGCTTTCGCTGCTTCTGCGGCTGCTGATCAGGGCTCTGCTGCCGCTGCTAGTACACCTGCCGGCGGATTCTGGAGCGGCGGCGACAGGCGGGGAAAGCGGGTTTCGAGGCTTATCTGTTGTGGAAGTGGCGCGCGGCGCGGCGGTGGGAAGGGATAGCTCCAACATAGCGCGAGCGTCGCCGTCGAGCACGGTGACGCTGTACGCCACGTCATCGTGAGTCACGATCATGGCGGCCAATCCTATTGAAGAAGCGTAACCCTACGAATTAGACGGCTCAAAAAGATCGATGAATTGAACTTTCGAATATGGAGGAGCATTCCGCAAGCGGCGGTTAATTAGACGCGAACTTTGCAATGTAATGTATCAGATAAACACGCGACACCTGCCAAGCGAAACGCTTCAGGCGCAGCTCCTCCCTCACACCTGCACTACTATGCTCTGCTGCGTTATCTTTGTCGAGTTTGTTACATGCGGATGGTCGGTCCGTCGTCAGGCAAAGTGCGATTGCGGAGGTGATGGCAGCATGGCAGGCAGCCTTGGGAAAGATGCACGCACGCATACCACCACGCGGAGAACAGCGACGCGGGGTGACTAGCGACTTCGCCCCCGCTGCTCTGAATGCTTCCACAAATCCGCCCTTTCTGTGCAAACTTGCCCCTCACTGCCTGTGGAAACTCGCCCCTTCCCCACAAATCCGCCCTTGAGCCCCAGATTGCTTTGCCGCACATTCGCCCCTGTCACAAATTCGCCCCCTGCTAGCTGCCACCCAGGCAGACGCTCGGATGTTCCCAGAATCTTGGTGCAATTGAACGGTCAGGATGGCCTCCGAGTTATCCAAGGCGGTCCCGGAACGGGCAAATCGGGACGACGGATGTCGAGCACCGAACCTGCCGTGACTGAGCTGGTGGTGTGGATGCAAGATCTCCCAGTGAGTTCGACGTTCGAATGACAAAGCAAAACGGCTGGTCAATGATTTCATGGCTGGGCTGAATGGTCCAGCTCAGGCCTGCGGCGAGGGGGAAGTAGGACCTTGCGCGCGCCTCGTCGTTCATGCGAGTTTCAAAGCCAATTTGCAGGAAGTTGTGGTCTTATCAATACAACCGCAGCTCCGATAAGGAGTCGGGATGTTTGAGAATTTTGTGTTCCAAAATTGTTCCTATGTTTTTAAATTGTTGATGCATCTGGAAACAATTAACGGGTTGTTACCTACACTACCAACAAATGTTCCTCCATTGCTGTCCAGCTCTTCACAATTAACAAGAACGACAAAAAAAAACGTTTAACAAGATGCAGGTAGTACAAACAAGATCCAAAGTCTCATAAAACGCTATCGTTTGAAGTTTTGAGTTAAAAAAAAAGTCATCGAACTTTTCCCATCACCAAATACTAGCTAATAATGAGCAATGCTTTAATACACCGACTGAGTAAGCATGAAAGCACCGTCTAATACAACCTGAAAGAGGCACTGACTGGACTCTATGACTACAATCACAAAGACATTAAAATTAATGCTTGGAGGGAAAAAATGGATGCAAGGGGGTCCAGTGATCCATGTTCCTGCACCGGGGAAGAGAAAAGCATAAAAAATGAGTACCGTACTTCAATGGAGCACAGCAATTACCGTAATTGGAATAACTTACATTAGTGGAGGAAGAACGACTCTGGCCCGTACACGTCGTTCTCCTCTGCACCACTACTCTGGAAAACTGGAGTCGCGGGGAGTTCAGCAGCTTCGTCACCTATGGCGCTTTCCTTTGTGCTCTTCATCGAACTTTTCCCGTCACCATCACGCTGCTGCTGCCCCTCATCCATCTCATACTCGCTCATGTGCGCCGCCGCTTCTGAAACCTGCGACACCTCCCCTTTCCCCTCTCCATCGCACCCCCCATTCACCCCACTCCCATGCCCACCATCACCTGTCTTCTGCACCCCACCCTCCTGCACCTCTCCCTCCTGCACCTCATCTTTCTGCACCTCCCCTTCCAACCTGTCAACCTCAACCGTCTCAGTGCTTTTACTAGCCTTGTCAATTACTCCGTTGCCCCCCTCCTCATTCAACCCCTCAGCTACTCTCTCTTCCCTCTCCTCGGCCAACTTCTCAGCCGATCCATCCTCCCCTTCATTCACCTTCTCAACTGCTTCCTCGCTCCCCTCTTCAGTAACCTCTTCCACTGTTCCCTCTCCCCCCTCTGCATTCACCCCCTCACTTGCACCATTCCTTTCCTCACTTGACGCCTCTCCCTCTGCCTCTCCCTCTGCCCCTCCCTCTGCCTCTCCTTCGGCCTCTCTCTCTGCCTCTCCCTCTGCCTCTCCCTTTGCCTCCCCTTCTGCCTTTCCTTCTGACTCCCCTTCTGCCTCCCTTTCTGCCTCCCCTTCTGCATCTCCTCCCTCCCCTCCTTCCTCCACCATTTCCTCCTCCCTTGCCATCGCTCCCATCTCTCCTACCTTCTCTGGACCCTTCGCTTCTTCCTCCTCTCCTTCCGTCCTTCCTTCCTCCACTCCGCCCTTCCCTCGTTCCTCCACCCATTTATCCTCTTCTTCCACCTGCTTCTCCTCTTCTTCCCTCCCCCACTCCTCACTTTCCTCCACTCCCTCGTTACCTCCTTCCACAGCTACCTCCTCTTCTACCTTCCCTCTTTTTTCTGCCCCTTCCTCCTCTCCTCCCTCCACCCCTTCCTCCTCTCCTCCCTCCTCTCCCTTTCCACAAACCACCTCTTTCTCCTCCTCCTCCCCTGCAACATCTCCACTCCATTCCTTCTCTCCCTGCTCCTCACTCTCCTGCACCCCCTCTTCTTCCTCCCCCCCTTTCTCTCCACCCACCACTCCTCCCCCCTCGACACTCCCTGCCCCCTCCCCTCCATCGACCACACTCCCCACAATCCCCCTCCCCACCTCACTCCCTTCCTCCCCTCTCCCAGCCTCACTTCCAGACCACTCACCCCCCACCTCACTCCCACTCCCCTCCTGACCCGCACCCCCCATCCGCCTCGTCTTCCCCACACCGCGGCACTCGATCTGATCCAGTGTTGCCTCGCTCTCCTCCCTCAGCGCCTCACACTCCTCCACGAATCGCACCCTCTCCTCCTCCAGCTGCTGCAGCAGCTCCAGCTTCGCCTTCTTCACCCCCTGGCGGAACTGCAACAGCCGCTCGTGCTGCTGCTGCTTCAGCTGGGCGAGGCCTGCTTGGAAGACTGCTGCCGCATGCAGGCTGCCCCGCAGGGCGGTGCTGTGGTCGTCGCTGCGGGGGGAAGGCGCGGAGGGAGAGGGCGAAGCATGAGCGGGAGTGTGAAGCAAAGCGGGAGAGTTAGAGTAAGTAAGAGGCCATGTGAAGCGTCATCGTTGGAATGATGAGGGTCGGATACATACAGACAATTCTAGGAGATCTCAGACGACTACTGCGCAGCCCAAGTCGTGAACAGCAGATGGTGATCATGGAACTTGGACAAGCACAGACAGTGTAGTGGGGGTTGGGAGGTTGGGGAGGTGGGGAGCTTGAGGGAGATGGAATGCGGGGGGAAGAAGACAGGAAGAACAAATGAGGAAGCAGGAGGGAGGAGGAAGACACGCGAATGAGCGGCAGGGGGGCAGGGTTCGGGGCAGTGATGCGCAGCTGAGCTCCGAGGAGCTTGAGAGGTGCCGTTGCAGCGGGCGGGCGGCAGCAACGTGCTGCTCGTTCGCCACCTTGCCCCGCCACTCCAGATCCGCCTCTTAGCAAGGTGGAGCGCTCGTGAGAGCTCTCAAAACACCCACACGCACGCACCTGAGCTCGGACGAGCTTGACAGCTGGCGCTGCAGCGTGCGGGCGGCAGCAACATGCTGCTCGTTCGCCACCTTGCCTCGCCACTCCAGGTCCGCCTCCCTCTCCTCCACCGCCCTCCTGCTCCTCTCCCTCTCCTCCAAGCTCCGCGCATATGCCTCCTCCAAACTCGCCACCTGGTGGGGGAGATGCGGAAGGAGGCCGGGAGAGGATGGGACGTGGGCGTTGGGAAGGTTTTGGGAGGATGGGGAGGTGGGTATGAGGACAGCTCAATGCACTCAAGGTCCGCCTCCCTCTCCTCCACCGCCCTCCTCCTCCTCTCCAACTGCACCACGCTCCGCACATATGCCTACTCCAAGCTCGCCACCTGGTGGGGGGGAGGGGGGACGGGGAGGATGGAAGGAGGAGTGGAGGTGTGAGAGGTGGGTACGAGGACAGCTCAGTGCACTCCAGGTCCGCCTCCCTCTCCTCCAAGCTCGCAACCTGGTGGGGGGGGACGGGGAAGATGCAACGTGGGCATTGGGGAGGCGTGGAGAGGATGGGGGTGGGCATGAGGACAGCGCAGTGCACTCCAGGTCCTCTCTTCCACACGAGTCCATCACCCCCCTCACCTCCTCGACCCAAACTCACCTCCTCCTTGTGCTGTGCGGCCAGGTGCTTGTTCCGCACCACCACCACTTGACGCCTCCTTCATCTGGAGATGCAGATCTTCTCCTGCAGCGGCCGCATCCTCTCCCTGCCACTGCCACACAAGCCCACCAGCCAACCCTGCTCGCACCTGCCCTCGTACCGGCCCCACCGCTCACCCCCTCCTCGTGTTGCGCCGCCAGCCATCCCCCTCACCTCGTCGACCCAAGCTCTTGCAGGGTGTTTTTGAGAATTCTAAAAAACACCCTATTAGTCCCCCCCCTCACCTCGTCGACCCAAGCTCACCTCCTCCTTGTGCTGCGCCGCCAACTTCTTGTGCCGCGCAACCACCGCCTGCACCTCCTCCTCCTTCATCTGCATCAGCCTCGCTGCATTGAGCACGGTGCTCTCCAGGTGCTGGCGCTGCTGCTTCTCCCCCTCCAGTTCGCACGCCAGCTGCTGCCGGCGCTCCTTCTCCTCCTCCAGGTGCTCCTGCAGCTGCGACTTCTCGATCTTCACCTCCACCAGCTTGTGCGACATCTGAGGTGGGGAGAGGGAGGGGATAGGAAAGGAGGGGAAGGGAGACAAGGCGAGCAAGGGTGACACATTGAGCTGCTACCTGCTGCCTGCACTCCTCCTCCAGATGCTCCTGCAGCTGCGACTTCTCGATCTTAACCTACACCAGCTTGTGCGACATCTGAAATGGGGAGAGGGAGAGAGACTGCGCGGCAGGGCAGCGGGAGGGCCAAAGGGGTTCATGACAGTCGAGCTGCTGCCAGCTCACGCGCCCCTCGTCCAAATGATCCAGCAGCTGAGGTAACGCAATCTGCACCTCTAGAAGCTTGTGTGACTTCTAATGGACCCGGGAAAGAGGAGGAGAGGGGGGAAGAGGGTGGGGTGAGGGAACAAGCGGATGGAAGATGCAAGGCAAGGCATAGGGGAAAGGCGAGAAGAGGACAAGACCGAATGACGCCAAAACATATTGCGTCCACAGAGGCCCAACCAACAACGAGTTGCGATTTGTACAGGCCCTTACAGGCCCCAGGACACCAAGACCACTGGTCTCACCTCGACCACTTGAGACTTGTACATGCCCGCCTGTGCCGCCTGCTCCCGCATGCGCCTCATGGGCTCCTCCACCATCTCCCTCCTCCTCTTCACCTCCACCTTCAGTGCTGCCTTGCCTGCCACACACACACGGGAATAAACATGGAGGGACGGAACCGTTCAGGAGGCTTTGGTGCGGAGGAAATGGAGAGCTAGACAGGGTTAAGGAAAGAGATCAGCTCATGACACCTCCCTCCGTCCCTCCACCTCCACTTTCAACGCTGCCTTGCCTGCAACCCCCCCCGAACCCCCCACGCACACACCCATCATGGTTGAGTGCACATGGATGGGCGGAAGAAGAAACTAATCGCACGGCGCAGGGCCAACTTCCTGATCAAACACCCACCTTTGCAGCACCGGTTAAACTCATCCACGTCCTGCTGCGTGGCAAGGTACCCAAACAGGTTGCGCTTCCCCGACCGGTCCACCCACCCGCCCCTCCCCTACCTCCCTCCCACCCTGCCCCACCTTCCCCAAACTGTGCCCAACCGCACCCCACACCCAGCCCCACCTTTGCAGCACCGATTAAACTCATCCACGTCCTGCTGCGTGGCAAGGTACCCGAACAGATTCCTCTTCCCAGACCGGTCCACGAGTGGCGCCGACCGCCGTGTCAGCTCCACCCGCCCGCGCCCCTCGCGCTCAAACTGCTGGGCGAGGCGCTCCGCCTCCTTGAAGCCGTCTGGCGTGGCGTCGAAGACCAGAATGCTCATGCCGCGATGGCCCTGGTGGGTGGGGGAACGCGGTACGGGGGCATGGGGAATGGGGCAATGGAGACAGAATATGGCTGGGGGAGGAGGTGGACGAGGGCCATGTGGGAGAACGAGGGAGAGATGCTCCTGACAATGTGCCCTTGTGCGTGTGTAGAGGTGTGTAGAGGTGTGTAGAGGTGTGTAGGGGGGTGCGTGAGTGGACAGAACGTGTGTGAAGAGATGGGTCACCTGAGGGCCATAGGCGTGCTTGGTCTTGACAATGAGCTTGAACTGCGCGAAGTGTTGCCGCAGCTCGTAGCTGCCCATTCCGATCCACTGTACTCGACAACCGAGATGCACCGAGATGGGGGTGTTTACAGGAGGGTGGAAAGGGAGACAGGGGAGCGATAAGTGGACGGGAGGGACAGGAGGTGAGTGGGACGGAAAGCAGCACGACAGAGATGGAGAATGAGTGTGAGGGAGGGGAAGGGAACAAGCCAGAGTGGGACCAACTGGGTGATCGATTGCAGAATGAGACATTCAGGGCGGTTGTTTAAACCTCGGCAACTCAGTGTAAGGTCCAATTTCTCCCGCCCATCACCCACCCGCCCCGTCCATCCTCATCTGGCCGCAAGGGTTCCTGATCATCACTCCATCAACCACCCTCCCATCACCCACCCGTCATGCACCCTCCCACCACGCACCCGGCCATCCTCATCGGGCCGCAGGCGAGTGTTTCTGATGATCACCACGGGCGGCCACAGCACCGTCGCATTCCCCTCCTCCACCCTCCTCCCCCCCACCCCCCGCCACTGCCCCTGCAGCACCCCCTCCTGCCCCTCCCTCCCCGCACCCCCTCCCCCCAAAAACACTCCTCTCTCCCTCAAATCCACATGAACCGCCGCCGCAAACGCGCGATGCGCGCCAATTTTCCTCGACCGAATGGTCTCGGCATGCTGCAGCAGCGCCCGGATCCCCGGCCACCAGTCCGTCTCACCCTTCCCACCCTTGCACGCGGGACACTTGTACTCGCGGTCCTGTGATTTTATCTGATCCGCGGACAGCTTCTTGAGGTCGACGAGAAAGAGGGCGACAGCAGGCGAGTGCTTGTAGTCCGTGGCAGTCAAGTCAAATGCCGACTCTGCACCTAATTCGTCGTCGTCCTCCTCGCCCTCTCCTCCCAGCTCCCTGCCAGCGCACTCGTCGTCGTCATCGTCGAATTCATCCAGCAGCCCGCCCATGGCTTGGCCTTGGGGTGTCACACCAGCACCGGCAGCAGCAGCGGCAGGAGCAGCAGCACCAGAACCACCAGCAGCAGCAGCAGCAGCACGAGCAGCACCAGCACCAGGGCCGAACCGACTCCCACCAGCCGCCCTACCCCCAGCAGCAGCAGCCAGGGCAGCAGCAGCAGCACGCGCCCGATCAGCGGCGCCGGCATTACTCACACTGTCTGAGAAGTCCACATCCAGCTCGCTCACAGGGGGCACGTACTCACTGCCTCCCTCTGCCGGCAGTCGCAGCACACTCGAGTGCAGCTCTGACTGCGGCCCGTAGCCTGACTGAGACCAGGAGGATGCTCCTGGTGAGTTGCCCACGCCCCCCCTGCCGATCTCCGTGGGGAGTTGGGGCTTGTGTGCCCTCGGCCCAGGTGTGGCAGGGATTGTGGCATTTGCTTGGTTTGCAGTGCCAGCAGCAGAGCTTGCAACAGAAAGAGTTGCAGGGGTTGCAGCACTTGCAGGGCCACCCGTGCCCAGGCTACCGCCTCTTCCCACCCACTCCTCCGTCCTGCTGCCCCCACCCCCGCCCTGCTCCCCTCTCTCTCCCATACTCCCGCCACCAGTTGCGGGAATAAAACCTCCCGTGCCCACGCCCATCCCCATCCCCATGCCCATGCCCATGCCCATGCCCACTCCTGCTATAGCAGGATCAGGTGGGAGGCCGTGGGCAAAAGCAGAGGCGGGTGGGACAGCAGCAGACGCCAGAGCAGGCTGGGGGAGTGACGGGAAGGAGGTGGATGGGGCAATAGCCGGCCAAGAGACCCCCGTGTCGCCGTATGATTGGCCGGAAGGATCCGCAAATGCAGGGGATTGGGCGTAGTAAGAGGAAGGTGTGGAGGTGGGTGGAGAGGTGGGCGTGGAGGTGGGGTGCGGTGGGGCGGGGGAGAGAGCCCCAGGGGCGGAGACAGTCGAGGGGGCGGGGACGTGGCCGGGAGGAGGGGAGGGGGGCGAGGGGGTGAACGGGGGGGCGGATGCGCGAATAAAAGAAGGCGCCTGGGCGCGGATGAAAGACGGTGCCTGCGCACGGATAAAGGAGGGCGCATCTGCTCGCAGGTACGTGCTGCCGTCAGCGCGGAGGGGGGAAGGGAGGGAAGAGGAGGAGGCAGCAGCGGGGAAGGGGGGCGCGTCAGCTCTCAAGCCCTCGCTCCCACGCTCCTTACCAGAGCCGCTGCTGCCATCAGGGTTACCAGCACCACTCGTCTCAGGCATTAGAGATGTCTCAGCGCTGGTCCCAGCCTGGAGCCCAATCGCAGAGAGAATACTGTCCGTGGCTGACCTCTCAGAAACGATGCTCTCTGGCGCTACAGCCGGCGCTACAGCCGATGCCACAGCGGAGGCTGTAGCGACCTGCTGCCAGGCGCGCAGGCCCTTGTTGATGGACGAGACAGCGGAGGCGTTGGTCTCCGTCTCCCACGCGCTGCTGTCGCCCCTGCTGCCCGCCTCCCACCCGTCGATCTCCCTGTGAGCCACTATGGGTGGCACCATGGGAATGGGCACCACTGCAGGCGCCACTGCACGTGCCACTGCCTTCCCTGCTGCTCCCTTCCCTGGCCTCGACCCCACTGCCTCACCGCCTGCCCCTTCACTCCACCACATTCCCTCACCCGCGCCCCCGCCTCCCGCCTCCTGCTCGTCACTCTTCCTCCACTCTCCGCCCTTCCCCTCCGCCCCGCCACCCCCCCTCCTCCACTTCCCTTCCGCCGCTGCCTCGGCCTCCCCTCTGCCCGACTTGTTCCCCGCACCTCTCCACCCCGTTTCCCCTCCCACCACCCGCCCTGCGCCCTTCTTTCCGCCCACCCCCGCGCCCTTGCTTCCGCCCATCCCCGCGCCCTTGCTTCCGCCCCCACTGCCCCCCGCGCCCTTACTTCCGCCCCCCCCTGCCCCTCCCCAGCCCGTGCTATCCGCGCCCCCCCACTGGCGCGCCAGCCGCTCGTCCTCCTCCTGCTGCTTCCAGATGTCGTCGTCAGATCCGCCCTCCCCCAGCTCCGCCTGCCTCTGCTGCCCAAACGCCCTCCAACTGTCCACTGCTCCCCCGCCCCCTCCACTCGCCCCAGCAGCTGCATTTCCACTGTTGCCCATCCCACCACCACCGGCTGCTGCTGCTGCTGCTGCTGCTGCTGCTGCTGCTGCTGCTGCTGTTGCTGCTCCCGCCGCTGGGGCTGCTGCTGCTGCCCCTCCCCATCCCCCCCCTCCTCCCGCGTCCCCCCATCCTTCCCCCTTGCCAGTTACCACAGGACCCCCTCCAACACCCCTTGCTCTGCCGTTCGCTGCAGCTGACTGAGAGGACGTGGACGAATGAGTGGGGGAAACTATCTCCTTCTTCCGCCATTCCGGCCCACTCTTGCCCAACCCTCCCTTCGCTGCGCCCACTCCCCAACCATCTGCGCCCACTCCCCAACCATCTGCGCCACCGCTGCCACCAGCAGCAGAGTCACCAGCGCCACCAGCATCAACAGCAGCAGGGCTAAAGCCGCCACTGCTCCTCTCCCACGCGGACGTACCAGCAGCAGCACCACCACCACCAGCACTCACGCCAGCACTGCTCAACCCCACATTGCTCCTCTCCCAACCGGACGCACCAGCACCAGCGCCACCGGCGCCAGTACCGCCAGCACCAACACCAGCACTCACGCCCCCGCTGCTCCTCTCCCACGCGGAAGCCCCTGCCTCTGCGCTCCTCCCCGCCCCTCCCTTCGCACCCCCACCTGCTGCCTCACCCTGCCCCCTCCCGCCGACCCGCTTGCCCGGCGGCACGTACCTGCCGGAGGTTCGGCCCGAGCCTCTGCCGCTGCTGGTGGGCACAGCATCCCCCCACTCCATGCCCTCCTTACCCCGGCCGCTGCTGCTCTGCCAGCTGGCACTGTCACCCCATTGGCTGTTGAGGTCTGACTTGGCGTCGGACCAGGCAGCGCTGACTACACTCGCGTCCTCGTTAGTAGCTGCGCTCCTGGGGCGCACGTGGCCACTAGCGGAGCTAAACTGGCTCATGGAGTCGTTATCGTTGGTTTTCGTCGTGGGGCCTCCCCACTGCTGCTGCTGCTGCTGCTGTTGCTGCTGCCATGTGAGGGGTTGTTTCGCTAACTGCTGCTGCGGGTGCTGCGGTTCCTGCTGTTTATCCTCGTCCTGCTGCTGCTGCTGCTGCTGCTGCTGCTGCTGCTGCCAGGTAAGCGGTTCCCTCCCTAATAGATGCTGCTGCTGCCAAGTGAGGCTCTGACCCTCCCCTCCCACCGCTCCTTGCACTGGCCCCGCCTGCTTCCCAAACTGCGCCTGCTGCCCCCTCTGCTCCTTGCCCGCCCCCTCGCCGCCGCTGCCACTGCCCACACTGCCCTCCAACTCTCCCTCCTCCGCATCCCAGAACTCATCGTCCCCCTCCGCGCCCTCTTCATTCGCCCCACCTGATTTCCCCCCATCCGCTTCCACCTTTCCCCCTTCCACAGCCCTGTCCGCCTCCTCTCCGCCACCATTACCGCCGCCCCCGCCATCCCCATAACCCGCTTCGGCGTAACCATCGCCGGCATACCCCCCTTCCGAGTATTCCCCTTCCCCATATTCCCCTTCCGCGTATTCCCCCTCCGCATATTCCCCTTCCGCATACTCGCCCTCCCAATACTCCCCCTCTCCATACTCCCCTTCGCTATAGTCACCCTCCGCATACTCACCCTCCTGTGCACCAGCGTCAGCAGCAGCAGCAGCCCCAGTCGTGGCCCCGTCAGCAGCCGCGCCAGCAGCAGCAGCGGCGGGCAGGGCAGCAGCAGCAAGAGGCGCGTCCTTCCATCCGATGACATCGCCCCACCCGTCGTAAATCGGCACCTTGTCACCCACCTGCCCCTCCGCTCCTCCACTGCTCGCCGCCGTGGCGGCATCGCCAGCAGCGGTGCTTGAAAACGCAGTGGCACTGGCAGGCGCGGTGCTGGCAGTGGCAGGAGTGACTACGGGTGCAGCGGTGGCAGCCCAGGAAGAGGCAGCAGCAGCGGCAGGCGCGTTAGTAGCCTGAGGAACGGGGTGCGTGGAGGGAGAGGAGGAGTCGTTGCGGCGCCAGCTGCTGGCGTCGGTGTCAGGCGCAGCCGTGCTACCACCCCACGTTGTGCCCGCGGAAGCACCAGTAGCAGCGCCAGCAGCAGGAGGAGCAGCAGGCGCGGAGTACCGGCTCGCGTCAGAGCCAGCGCCCGCAGCCGTGCTAGCACCCCACGCGGTGCCTGCGGAAGCACCAGCAGCAGGACCGGCAGGCGCGGAGTACCGGCTGGCGTCAGAGCCAGGCTCTTTGGCGCGCCACCGGCTGGCGTCGGAGCCGGAGTCGGAGGGGGTGCGCGGCGCCTGTGACGGTCCTTGGCTGCCCCCCCAACGCTGCGCGCCAGTTCCCGCCCCCACCAGCAATCCTGCTCCCTGCGCCGCTCCCTTTGCCCCTCCTGCTGCGCCTGCGCCTCCTGCTGCAGGCTCTGATCGCCATGATCCTGCTGCAGATGGCGCTCGCGACTGCGCCTGCGGCGGCGGCAGGGAGGGCACAGCGGACACCACACGCACTGCCTGGGGCGCCGGCACGTGCTGGGAGGCATTGGGCTGAGGGCCGATGTTTGGGTGTGAGCCAACATTTGGCTGTAAGCTGGCGTTCGACGGATGCCGTTGGCCGACAGGCCCCGTCTCGCCGGTAACATCACGCTCCCACCATTCCCCACCTTGCCTCCCTCCGCGCCCCGCCTGCTGCGCCGCTGGTCCATGCGCGCTGCCCCACGGTTCTTGTCCCTTAGCTTGCGCCGCCTGCCAATCTCCCGCTCCATGCGCCTTCAGTTGCCACTGCCCTTGCCCCTGCCCCTGCCCCTGCCCCTGTCCCTGCCCCTGCCCCTGCGCCTGGGCCTGCGCTTGCCATTGCTCCTGCCCCCGCCCCTCGTCCCACCACGCTCCTGCATGAGTCTGCTGCCCAGGTCCCTGCCCGGCCCCCGACTGCGCTCCCCAGCCCTGAGGCCCTTGATTCGCCCCCTGCCAACCTTGAGGGACTTCACTGCCCCCCTGCCAGCCCTGAGGCCCTTGGTTCGGGCCCTGCCATCCCTGAGGCCCTTGGTTCGGGCCCTGCCATCCTTGAGGCCCTTGGTTCGGGCCCTGCCAACCCTGAGGCCCTTGGTTTGGGCCCTGCAAACCCTGGGGCGCTTGGTTTGACCCCTGCCAGCCCTGACCCGGACCCAATAAACCATGGGGCTGTTGGTTCGGTCCGGACCAGCCAGCAGCCTGGTTTGGCGCGGCACAAGCCTGAGGCTGATTGGAGACCTGACCCGCCAGACCGATCGGTACGTTCGCGGAAGTATGTCCCCACGTCGGGGGGGAAGGAGCTCTTCCGCCATACGGCCCCTGAGCGGACGGCGCATACCCCCCGGCGGCGGAAGGCCCCGCGGAATGAGGGAACGCGGAAGCTGGCGCAGGGGGGTAGGCTTGGGGCTGCTGGGGGAGATGCGGGGCGGCGGGGGTGAAAGGCGCGGGGGCGTGGGGCAGGAAGGAGGATTGACGAGGCGGAGGTGGTTGTGGCGCAGCCGCTGGCGGAAGGGGCGCCATTGGCGGGACGCGGGGAGACGGAGATGCTGGCACGGAGATCGTGCTGCCAGGCGCACTGCTGCTGCCGGCGGGAGTGGCGGCGGTTGCGGCAGGCGCGCCGCCGCCCAGCGAAGCCCACCAGGGGATCGCGCTGCTGCTCCCGGCCACCGAACGGGTGGAGCTCGTGCTAGCTGCGGTCGCCGCGGTGGTTACCACCGATGGCGGTTTGTAACCGCTGACGCTGTATCCGGCGAGGGCGCCACCCGGCGACACAGCTGCCACACCAGGGCCGACGACGTCTTTCTTCTTCTTTTTCTTTGTCGCCGTGGGCGCGGGGCTTCCGGGTTTCGCCAGCGGCTGTTTCTTCTGTGCGGCAGCTGCCGCGGCAGTGGGGGAGGACACCGCTGCGGCAGGCGCCTTCTTCGCCGCCTTTTTCTTCTTCGCCTCGGCCGCCGTCACCGCTCCTACCGCTGCCGTTGCTGCTGCACCCGTCGCTGATGCACCTGCTGCTGCTTGACTTCCGGCCAGCGCCGGCCCTGGCGCGGCCGCGGGTGCGGTAGAGGAGCCCCATCCCGAGCTGTTGGCGGCGCCCCATGACGCGCCGTACCCGGTGGCGCCGGACACGCCCCACGAGCCGTCCCTGTTGCCCCAGGACTCCGCATCCGTGTCGTCCGACTCGCTAGCCCAGTGCTTCTCTTTGAGCTGCACGGAGTTGTACTGTCGCCAGTACTCCGCCGGGTCGATCGGCGCGGCCGCGGTGCTCGTGCTACAGACGCTAGCGAGGTCGTCCATAGAGGATCTGATCTTCAGAGGGACGCGGAATCCTGCAGGAATAGCGACGGATCAAGGGAGGAAATTCCAGGTGAGAGCGAACGAAAAATAGGCGGCAAATTTGGATTGGCAAAGCAGTCGCGCAATACCCTTCTTCGCCATTCCCAGCTCGTAATTTATAAAGCAGGAATTTCATAGTACCAATCCAGCAATGCAGTCCACAGCGCGACTAATATCCTTGACTCACCCTCCGCGTCACCTCGTGATGAACTGCCTCAGATCGGGTGCCGTTCAGCGCAGGCTCATCCGACCTCGCCTGCTGTACAAAGTGTTGCATGCAAACTGGCTATGTGACTTTATCAAGATCGACTGAACGTGCCAGGAAAGATACTCTGCCGCGTACAATACTAGTGAAGGACGGTATGAGGTTTATCGGAAGAACGACGAAGACAAGAGGCTATTCCTCAATATCTAACTTACCGAAAAGGGTTTCTCTGCAGTGAAGAGTTCTGAGAGCAATCAAGAGAGCTGAGAACCAGCCCCCTTGATGTCCCAGACTACAAGCTGTCTGCTTGCTGTGCTGGCCTTATCTCTCGAGATGGGAAAACGGGTGCGGCTGCATGTAGAGAATCTGGGTAAGGATAACTTGATGGCTGAGAGCTATAGTACGGTTCTTCAAGATTAAACGCGTTGCAGAATATTATAATGCGGTGGTCTGACACCATATTGTGGACTCCTCTTTCCGAACCACTTAGTTCCCGCCTACTGAGGGCTGGATGGCAATGCCATGCATGCTACACGATGACCATTTGTAACATTGCGACACCGTGCGAAACAAGCGCACCAACAGAGTTCAACGTCGAAAAAACGCGTTCTAAGATGATTGTATTTTCTGCATGGTGCTTTATTATTCTGGCTCTGATTGAAATATATATAATGTATGCGCTGATATTTCTTGCTTGTCCGTTGCTTGACGTGGCTTTTCTGTAGCAATTTGGCGCGAACCCCAACAAGCCACTCGCGTTACGACAATCCGAACCTCTCTGTTTGATCGAGCATGCAAAAACGAGTCTCGCTCGAGGTGAGGTGTCGAGGCTGAGGCAAAAAAGGTTTGTCCTTGGAAGAGTTTCACCGCCGTTCGATTCCATCACACTCGGTGGCGAGCAACAAGATTGACGGTCAATAACGGCTCGAAGTTTGCGAGGTCCGTTAGGGGCCACCATTTTTGGGGCCAATTTGGCAAATGCAGAGTGGGCTGTTGGTGGCTGTACTTGGACCTCCTTCCTTTGGGAATTGTTGTCAAACTGCCTCGTGGGATTGCTGTACCTAATCGCTTGGAGCCCCTGGCTCTGCAATTGTTAGGAAATGACCAGCTTGTTTCGCCTGACATGACTGTTAGAACTCTGTAGACACTATCACTGACACTAATTTTTTGGTCTAGGAAAATCTATCGCTAACTTTACGGTCCTGTCTGGATCAAGTTTCTAGATGGAGCGTGACGGGTGGTCTTCGTATGCGCTGGACGATAAGGGCATCAGCATTCGGGTACGGTCCGGCTCTCTGTTCTCCATGCACTGCTCCTCATTTTCACGCTTTGATCCACAGGCTTACAACTGTCTTCATCTGGTTGACCATGGCGTCGTATGTAATGAAGTCTTAGTTGCGTCCTCCGTTTGAACGCGAATGTCCAGGATGTACATGCACGGAACCCGCCAAGGTTCTTCGTTTCCCGTTTTCTAACAAGCAATGGGATGTTCTGCCTCCCATCCTTGTCGCCTTCATGTTCCCTATTGTGCTTCACTCCGTGCAGAATCGCGTGAGGCTGTCGCAAGCACCGGAGTCGTCGTCGGAGTCGTCGCTGGCCAGCTTCATCAGCAACCTCGCGCGGCCGGCCGGCTCGTACCGCACGCAGTTCCTGCCTTCGCCGCAGCAGCGCAAGAAACAGCAACCGCAGTCGCAGCAACAAGCAGACGATCAGAAAGACCAGTCTCAAGCCGACCAGCCGGCTGAGCAAGGGCAGAGCACCGACTGCAAGGAGCAGCAGCAGTCTCATGCTGACCAGGAGTCGAAGCAGTCGCCGTTACCGCTTCCCCTCTCCCTTCCTCGCTTCTTTAACTGCCCGCAGCGGTCCTTGTCGCTCGACCCTCGCATTCTTCGCAAGCTGCTCTTCGAGCGACACGCAGAACCGTCGCAAGACGACGCGACGGAAGGCGACGAGTCGAGCCCCGCCGACAAACAACCAGAGCTCCTGGAACAAATGACTCATCCGCAGGAGCCGGCGTCAAGCACGGAGAAGAAAAACTCGACCTCGGAAAAGAAACCGTCCCTGCACCGCCGATCATCCCTGCCGTTCGTCAAGGAGGTTCGGGAAGACGCCGAAGCTGACGAAGGCGAGGCGAAGCCGATCCGCGAGGAGGGGCAGACGCGGGTTCTTCCGCTGGACATGGAGATGTTGCCGCGCACGCGGTGGGAGGAGCTGAGCGAGCAGCAGCTGCTGCACGAGCTGCAGCGCCGCGAGGAGGACGCCGCGCGCCTCAGGCGCATGCGCGAGCAGCAGGAGCGGGCCGGCGCGCGGGAGTCGTCCCGGGAGAGGCGGCGGGACGTGTCGCCTCAACGGGTCAGTCAGCCCCTCGTGCATTTTCGCGGCCGTCTCTTCTGTGTTATGACTCACTGAGTGCGCTCCATGGGTGACAAGCTATGTTACTATCCATGCTTTGTATTTTATTTCTTGTTTTTTGTGTAGAAGATTAGAAGTTCCTAGTTCCGCCTCCCTGTCCCACACCTTTTTCCCCTTGCCCCTCCTTCCGCCGTTCCTTTCCGCGTTGGCTGGTCCGCGCAGGATTTTCTTCCCCGCGACACCCTCACGTGGGTGCTGCTGGCGGGCGGCGCAATCGCCGCGGCGGCGTCCGCGGTGGGCAACAAGCGGCGCAAGGCGCACCTCACGGAGTCCTGCGTCGGCTCCACCGGACCGTCGGACAGCTTCGGCATGTCAGGCTCGGGGCAGATGTCAGGCTCGGGACAAATGTCAGGCTCGGGAAGCGCGGATGAGATTCGGAGGCTGAGAAGACGCGACGGACGCCCGGAAAGGAGCCGCGACGGAGAGTCTTCTAGAGTCGGCGGGAACGGTGAGTGACACGCCGGGAAGCGAGGCAAGGAGAATGACACCCCTGTCCCTCTCCCTCTCCTTTCCCTTTCTCTATCCACCCCCCCACCCCTCCCTCCCTCCCTCCCTCCCTCCCTCCCTCCCTCCCTCCCTCCCTCCCTCCCTCCCTCCCTCCCTCCCTCCCTCCCTCCCTCCCTCCCTCCCTCCCTCCCTCCCTCCCTCCCTCCCTCCCTCCCTCCCTCCCTCCCTCTCACCCGCCGCCCTCTCTGACACTCTCTTCCGCAGCTAAACACCCAACCGCTTACTGTTGTCCCCGTTCCCACTTGCTGTCCTTTGCCAGCCATTTGCCCCCTCAACCTCCCTGTCTCTCCCCACCTTCTCCCCCGGCCTACAGTCGCCCTGAGCGATCCTCGCGGCAGCAGCGTCACGGGGGACGGCGGCGGGCGCAGCAGCAGGCGGAGCAGCAGCCGCCACAGCCACCACCACGACCGCGCATACTACCACAGGCACGCGCACTTGCGCGGGCACGAGGGGCACGGGGGGAGGCAGCGCGCGCGCGGGGCCGATTGCGGGGCGAACGACAGCGGGGAGTCGCGCGAGGCTTATCTGGGAGAGCAGTACTCCGGGCAGGGGGGGTACGTGGGGGAAAGGCTTGCGCCTGCGGAGCGGGGGAGCTACAGCGAGAGGCGGAGACGAGGGGGAAGCAGCAGTAGGGCTTACAAAGAGGGCAGTGCGACCAGTGCTGCTGCTTACACCGCTGATGCCTACTCCCCTTCTTCCTCCGCCGCTGCCGCCGCTGCTGCTGGTGTTGGTGGCGCTGGCAGCAGGGCGCGGACTTACTCCCTCTCCTCTGGTCAAGACGCCGCCGCCGCCACCGCCGCTGCCATGGCAGCCGGCACAGCCGCCGCTGCTGCAGGCGCGCTCGCCGCCCCCTCCCTTCCCCCTTTCGCTCCCCCTCACCACATCCTCGTGGCGCCAGGCGCAGCAACGGGAGGGGCTCCCCCTGTGGGCCTGGGTCTGCTGGGCAAGGATGCTCCGGAGTTCTGGGCTGCGCTTCCTTCCGACGCGCTCGCAGCAGCGTCCGCCGTGGCAGCTGCGGCGGCCAAGGGGAAAGCGCCCCTGTTTACGCCTGAGAGCTCCGCCCCTGGCGCGGGTGCGGGCCCGTCGTCCTCGCTTCAGCTGCACACCCCCTCACAGAATGGTGAGCGCGCGGCGCCGCACGCGCCCTTCTCTTCCCCTTCGCCTGGCGTGTTCCGCTTCACCGGCGCCAGCCCCAGCGGCGGCGGCGGAACTGATGGCACAGGCGCGGGGAGCAGCGGAACGCCGCTGGGTCTTCTGGGGAGCGGCGTGGGGACCTTCTCCGGGCTGGGGGCGTCCGCGCATACGTCCAGCCCCTCTTCCGCCGCGGGGCTCCCCTCCCGCCGTGAGGAGGTGCTGCGGCTGCGCGCGCAGCTGCGGAGGCGCGACGAGATGATTCTCGACATGCAGACACAGCTGCTGCGCCAGGAGGAGGGGGTTGCGCAGCGGATGGACGGACTGGCGGAGCTCGAGCACGCGCTGGAGGAGCAGCGCGCGGAAAAGGCACGCGCGGAAGCGAGGGCGGCGGAGGCGGAGAGAGAGGCGGAAGCCCAGGCGGAACAGTGCCAGGCTTTGTTGCGGAGGCTGAAGGAGCTGGAAAGGGGCAAGGGGGGAAGAAGCTTAAGCGGGGACAGTTCCGGGGGTGGAAATGCTAACGCGGAAGGAGAATCTGAGGAGGGAGAGTCCAGGGCGGCGGAAGGCGTGCTGGAGGCGCAGATTGCGGAGGCTGTGGCGGCGGCGAAGGAGGCGGCCAGGCAGGCGGCGGAGGCCGCAGCAGCGGAGCAGTACCGCGTGGGGAAGGCGGAAGGATCGCTAGCCGCGCAGCGGGAGCTGGAAATCGCCGTGCGCCGGGGCAGGCAGCTGGAGGAGCAGCTCTCCACGGCGGAGGAATCCGCGGAGAAATGGGAGAGGCTTGCGCGCGAGGCCATGGCGGAAAGCGCGCGGAAGGAGGCGGAGGCAGCGGAAGCAGAGGCGCGCGCCGCCCGCGCAACAGCCGAGGCGGAGCGCCTGGATGAGGAGTGCGCGGCGCTGGGCGCGCAATACCAGGCGGTTCAGGAGCAGGCGGAGGCGCTGGAGAACGACCTGCGGGAAATGCAAGAAAAGGCGGAGCTTTGGGAAAACAGAGGCCACGAGGCCGTCTCTATAGTGGAGATGCTTGAATCGGAGCTGACTGTAGCGAAGCAGCAGGCGGAGGAGGCGGAGGAGGCGAAGCGGGAGGCGGAAGAGGCGCGGCGAGAGGCGGCGGACGCCAAACTAGAGGCGGCTATGGCGCGGGAAAAGGTGGCGGATGCCTCTGCCGCGATGGAAGAGAAGGTGGTGCAGCAGGAGAAGGAAGATGAGGTGGCGCACGAGGAGGGGGAGGGGGGCTCTGCAGCAGAAGCGGTTGGTGACTCCGAGCAGGTGGTTGTGCTGGAGTCGTATGGCAGTGGCGTTCCCCCTGCCGCCCACCCTGACGTGCAGGAGGCTGGCGTGCAGGAGGCTGGCGTGCAGGAGCATCAGGAGGAATCAGAAGCTGCATTAGGGACCAAGGCTGTGAGCCAGGCAGATGCAGCGAATCAGGATGGTGCAGCGAACCAGGACAATGCCGTCATTCAGGCAGGTGTAGACGCAAAGGATGCAGCTGAAGCTACTCCTGCTGAAGCTACTCCTGCCGAGGCCACTCCTGCCGAGGCAACTCCTGCCAAAGCTACTCCTGGCGAAGCTACTCCTGGCGAAGCTACTCCTGCCGAAGCTACTCCTGCTGAAGCTGTGCCTGCTGGACCTATGCCCGCTGAACCTGTGTCGTCTGAAGCTGTAGCTTTATCTACAGGTTTTGGCGATAAAAGTGCTGCCAGCAAGAGTGAGGCATTCACCGTTGTTAATCCTGCCAGCAAGCATGATGCAGACAGCAAGGGTGGGCCAGCAGCTGAGTCAAGTGAACCGGGCCCGTTCAAATTTACCAGGGGAGGTGGAACTCCTCAGAAAGGCCGGCGTGGTGGTGGCTATAACCGAGGGGGTAACCGAGGTGGTAGACGGGGTGGCAAGAATTGGTAGCCCTGCAACTCAGGTACGTGTCCTATTCGAGCGCCGCTGAGTTTGTGCATACTGCTGAGGTTTCTAACCTTGATGGGATGTGTTGTTTTGCAGGTTAATTTATTGGAAGACATTGGTGGCCCTTAGTGGAAATCTGACAGCATCTCTAACTCTCTAGATACCTCATAGATTATGTTTCACTTCCCTGAGGTTTCATGCTAATTGAAACATCCGTCAGATTATGTAATGTTTCTCAATAATCCTCAATGCGATTGGCCCAACACGTGGCATCACGAGAAGCCGATCACATTTGCCAGTGTGTCGATGACGTGGACCCAGCTCCTCCTCAGCTCCTCATAACAATTTCCGCACAACTCCAAGAAAAAATCACCACTCCCTCACCACCGCCCCCTGACCAGAAAGGATAGACAGTGTCAGAAAGCTTCAGGGCTTTGTCCGGCTTTACTAAGTTGATGGAAGTTGCTCCCGTTTCTATCAGGTCAGGACTTGCTGGTTATGTTCTGTTGAAGGGTTTCCCGCTGCTACCGAGCAGCTTTTTAATAATATCTGGTGAGAGCTATTAGGGCATGAACATTTCTCGGCGCGGGCTTACGAGACTGCTTGTTCCAAGCCACGGTCTGCCAAATCCTGTGATTCGCCGGCTCAACGTTTTCGAATCATCCGTTCCTGGATTGAGCTTGCCGCAGCAACGAATCGCGACAATGGCATATCACGCAGCAGAGGCGTTAAGCTTGTCGCTTAGACTACCCGTTATTCCAACTGCCCAGCCGTGCAGATTGCACAAGAAAACTACGACTAACGCTTTGGTCCAAGGAAGTCGCCTCACTTCGTTCCTTGGAACGCAGCTTCATTCGCATAATGACCGATTGAGGCCATACGCGTCAGTATCGTCAGCAATGCCTTCGGCGGTCGCTTCTTCCGCGGCTGTTGAGGCGAAGGAGGTTTCCCCGCCGAGTCAATCGAACGACGGTTCCGCGAAAGCGGTTGTTGCTCCTCCTGCCACGTGGAAGGCGAGCATTGACTTTAAGTGGGTACGAGAGAATCGGGATTTAATGGAGGCTACTGTGAAGGAACGGCAGTCCAATGCTGACGTGGCTCGTGTTGTGGAGCTCTACGAAGACTTCGTTTCAAAGAATCTGGTAAGAATAAGGTCATTGTAGGTGAAAGCATAAACGGTCAAAAAGTTTGAGTGCTGCATTTGCTGTTTCAAGTACTCTGCAATACCGCTGCTCCCTGGATCTCAATAATGTTGCTAATTGAACGGTCTATCGTGCATGATCTGCATGACATATGCTGCGTGGTGTGCGTGCATGCGTGGGTTATCGGCATTCTTGCATATCTTCCAGGAGGTGGATCGGCTACGGGCGGAGCGGAACCGAGTGGCGAACGCGATGAAGGCGAAGTTGGAGGCGGAGGAGAGGGCGAGGTTGGTGAGCGAAGGCAAGCACCTCAAGGACGTGCTGGCGGGGCTCGAGGCTGAACTGGGGGAGGTGGCTTCTGAGCTGCAACGGGAAGGCCAGCGCCTTCCCAACCTGACCCATCCTGACGTGCCACGTGGCGGAGAGGAAGTGGCTGTCACTTTGCGAACGGTGAGATTCTTGCTGATTGTTTCAATTGATGGCACCAGATTGTTCATAAAAACATTTCTTCGATGCTGCTGTTTGACTTTCTCGTGTGTCATCGTGTCTCACCCCTGATCCACGGCATCAGGTGGGCGAGAAGCGCGTGTTCGCCTTCCCTCCCAAGGACCACGTGGAGCTCGGCCTCGCGCTCGACCTCTTCGACTTCGATTCCGCTGCTGAGGTGCGCTGAGCTGCTGTGAGCCTGTCGTGTGAGGGTGTTGTAGTGTGAGCCTGATTGGGGGGGTTGTGATGGGTGGAGAACGTGTGACTGCTTGAGTAACGGCGGATGTCACTCCCATTCCACCTCCTCCCTGGAGTCCCCTACCAGCATCCCATCCCTCCGTATTACTCGCTTGGGAAGCTTAGCCTTTCGATCAGGTCCTAAGCTAGTTAACTTCTCACCAATTTCAGCAACTTTGCGCAACGAATTAACTGGTGTAAAATTCGTCCTATTTCCATTGTCTCCCCTCGCCGTCCGCCCCCCTTCCCTCTCCTCCAGGTGAGCGGCGCCAAGTTCTACTATCTGCGCAACGAGGCGGCGCTGCTGGAGATGGCGCTGCTCAATTGGGCGCTCGCGCTGCTCGTCGCGCGAGGCTTCACGCCCGTGTCCACGCCCGACCTCGTGCGCTCGCACGTCGTCGAGCGATGCGGCTTCCAGCCGCGCGCCGCCAACACGCAGGTGTACTCAGTAGAGGGGTCGGACTTGTGCTTGGCCGGCACAGCAGAGATTCCTGTGGGCGGCAGCTTCATGGATAAGATCCTGAGCGAATCAGATCTGCCGCAGCGCGTGGTGGCCTTCTCCCACTGCTTCCGCACAGAGGCTGGCGCTGCCGGCTCTGCCACCAGGTAGCGTGGGGCCCAGGGGAGGGGAGAGGTTTGATAGGAGCGCCAATGCGTGGGAGGATAAGAGTAGACATTGTGCGGACCAAAATGAGCGTTGCAGCAGGCATGTGTGTGTGTCGGTTATTTTCCGCTTACTGACGGTCGATCGTTGGTTTTTTCCCATGGCCAACAATCAACAAACAAAATCAAGTAAGCCAGAGCGACCGGGGCTGTGCCTCTCTCCTGCCCCTGAAGCACCTCGCAGTGGCCACGGGCACTTGCCTGTGGTTCACTGTGTGGGAGCCCATTGGACGGGGCGGGGTGAGGTGGGCCCAACACCTTCACACTCATTTCCAATAAGTTCTTGCCTGTTTTACACGCACACGTCGTGTTTTCACCAGGGAGTTAATGAGTAACTCGGTCTCCATCTTACCCTGCCCTTACCCGTGCGTTCTGCCCCTGCTGCGTATCTGTCTATACAGGGGGCTGTACCGCGTGCATCAGTTCAGCAAGCTGGAGATGTTTGTGGTGTGCCGCCCGGAGGACAGCGATGCCTTTCACCAGGAGCTCATTCAGATCGAGGAGGACATGTACACAGCTCTCGGTCTACACTTTGTGTACGTGTGTCGCAGTTGGTTAACCTTTGTTGTTCCTGCCTTTGTCTGCTCAATACGCGCTGTTCCATCTCATCCACACCTCGTCCACTCCTCGCCCCTCTCCTGTCCTCACGAGGCTCATCACGGCATTTTACTCTTGTACAACCCCCATTGTCTGCAGCACTTTGGACATGCCAACAGCGGATCTAGGTGCCCCTGCCTATCGCAAGTTTGACATTGAGGCCTGGATGCCAGGCCTAAACAGATACGGAGAGGTATGAGAGTGGTGGTGACATTTTTGCTTGGTCTGCGTGTGTGCGTTTGGATTGGTTGCTTGCTGGAGAATATGTTTAACTAATGCTCGCACCTGATTGTGGGTTGCAGATATCTAGTGCGTCAAACTGCACTGACTATCAAGCTCGTCGACTGAACATCAGATACCGCCCCGCGTCAAGCTCTGGTGATCAGGAGGCAAGCTCTACAAAGGCAGAGAAAGGGAAGAAAGGTGGTAAAGCCAAGGCACCTTTGGCTCCACCACGGTTTGCCCATACATTGAATGCTACTGCTTGTGCAGTTCCACGTCTGATCGTGAGCATTCTAGAAAACTTCCAATTAGAAGATGGTTCTGTAGAGATTCCAGAGGTTTTGAGGCCATATATGGGTGGTATCTCTGTTATTAGGCGGAACTGAATATATTGAGGTGCTGCTGAGTTGTACATTGCGTTGTTCCTAACGATTTCATTCATCGCGGACGCAACCCACGACAATTCCAACAGAGCTCAGGGGCAACTCTGCACTTTCTTTCCCTGATTATACGGATTTTGATTGGTCACGGCTTACGTGTTTCAGGGACATTTATGCGTCAATCCTTGTCTGCTGCTGGTGCTTTCGAAGTTCCGGAGATATTCTTGAAACTTTCACCTTCTGGAACCTGGAGTTGACTGAGTAATCATATCGCACGCACACCGAATCGCTCCCATGTGGTCTCAGCTACCAGCCCAAATGTTCTGAAGAACTTCTTGTGAAGAGTTGGCTGCCTTTCGTTTCAAAACGATGACAGAGTGAAAGCGATCCCACCAATCGTAGCAGCGTTTTCTCCTGCCCAAACTTACACCCTTCCCAACATACCCGACCAATCAAAGGTTGCTTGCGGTTGTCATTCTTGCAGTCATTTCCAGGTCCCATCTTTGCTCTCCACCGACGTCACAGATTCAAGTTCTGCAGGGAAGCTCCGTTCATCTTGTGTGCCGTGCAACCGCTCCTGCCTTCTCAACTTGCCGCCATTGACAAGCGATTGCGCCCATTTTCCGCAGTCTGTTTCGCGACCCTCCATCTGTGAATTCTGTCAAGCAACTCGGCTTAGTTGAGATTAGCAGGTCTACGCAGGCCATGGCGGATCCCTCTTCGTCTCGCAGTTCTCCCACAGCCGACATCGGCCTGAAGCATCTCGAATTCGCTAGGCATGCTGTGATAAGCTTGTACATCCTCCTTTTTAAGCTTTACGAGCAAGCTAAGGGAAACGCAGGTTCGCTCCGTACAGGAATTGATAGGGTGGAGAGTATGGTCAGAACCGTGGTTGGTCCTGTGTGGAATAAGATTGAGGACAAGCCTGACGAAGTACTTCGTTTCGCGGATGAGAAGGTGAGATTCAATATACTCTCCGCCATCATACCCCCTCTTTCCATATTGCATAAAATCCGATGTGTTCTTTCGGCGTTCAGGTTGACGTCGCACTGAAGTACGCGGACAGCTACATCCCCAGAGACTTGGCTTATCGAGCTTCTGATTTTGTCCGCACTGTTCCGGTGCGTGCCAAGGAGGCACTTCACGGCTATCAGGAGAAGGGGGCCCTTGGCGCTGCAAAATCCTATTATTACGACTCGCTTGAGCCGGTTCTGTCAGCCTACCTTGTCTTCTTGTGGCGCTTGGCGTTGTCCATGCCGCTTGTCCCCCATGTGGTAGTAGCAGCTTACCCCACGGTGTTCGCAGCAGCCAGTAAGTACAACACCGTCGTTGCATCGTTTCAAAATTCCGACTTCGCTTATTTGAAGAAGGCTGCGGATGTGGTTCCGCTGGTTCCCGTGGAGAAAGTTGAGAGCTACGTGAAGCTCAGTCTACAGCAGGCTGGAGTGCAATAGCTGATAATCATATCCAGACGTGACAGATTATATCTATGCATATTCTGGATAAATAGTTTCGTTTCCGAATATTATGCAACCTCTGACTATTTGCGGAATTCTTAGCTGCCTGCTGTGAATACCATTAGAGAATAGGTAGCTGAAGTAAGTAGCTTCTGACCACAGGTTATGAACAGTAACGCACATGCAGCTATATCCTCAACAATTATTCAACACTCAAAATTATTCCCCCAGCTATGCTACACGCTATGGTGGCTTCACTTTGCGGGAATGCCATTACGGTTCAAAGCCAAGACGGATCAACTCAAAATCGAATCCAGGGCAGAAAGAGTTATGCTGACATTTTCAAGACAGGCAGATTCGCGACTCCGTCCTCCCTCACTGCTCCGCCAGTCACTTGGTTCTTCTGAGTCGTTCCAGCTGATCCCGCAACAGCAGACGCCATGACCTGCCGCGACACAATCTTGCGCACGACGCGGCCGCCGAAGGCGTGGACGAGGATCCAGGGGTGGGAGAGCAGCTTGGCGGCGGACGGGCGTCGGCGCGGGTCGCGGTGCAGCATGCAGCGGAGCAGCCCCTTGGCCTCCGCCGACACCCCCGCCCACGCGCCGCTCGTCAGGTCCAGCGGCGCCTCCAGCACGGCGCGGAACACGCCGTTGTCGTCCGCGCCCCAAAACGGCGGGCTGCCGCTCAGCAGCACGTACAGCACCACGCCCAGCGACCACACGTCCGCCTCCACCCCGTACTCGCCGCTCAGCACTTCCGGTGCGATGTAGAATGGAGAACCGGCAATGCCGCACGCCCTGGTTTCCCGATCGATCTGCACTGCGAGGCCGAAATCCGCGACTTTCGCGAACAGCTGGGGGGGAGTCTGAGGAGGCGTTGGAGAAGTCCCGGTAGGGGTCGGTTGTGAGCGGCGGAGGAGAATGTTTTCCGGCTTCAGGTCGCGATGCACAATGCCTCGAGAATGGCAGAATGCGACGGCCGATACGATCTGACGGAAGATCAGCGCCGCCTCTTTCTCAGGTAACTTTTTTCGCCGCACGACTTCATCGAACAATTCGCCGCCTTCGCACAATTCCATGATAAGATGAATCTCAGATTCGTCTTCGAACACTGTTCGAAGCTGCACCACGCCCGGGTGCCCCGCAACGGTCTGCATTATCGCCACTTCGCGCCGCACGTCCTCTCTCGCTGATTCCGTCAGCAGCCGGTCCTTAAGAATCGTCTTGCACGCGAGCACTTCGCCTGTCGCCCTGTTCACGCACCGACGGACGACGCCGAAATGACCAGAGCCGATTTGCTCGTCGCAGAGTGAGAAGTAATCATCGAGGCGCGCCGTGCATTCCGGAAACACGGCGTCACAGCACGGCGTCTTCGAAGGCTGCGCGGCGTCGCTGGCGTCGTCGAGACGGAGATCGGAGAGAGGCGACGCTAGTGACAACTCGCTGGGACATTTACGTGGTCGTTTCGCGGGGCTGCTCGTCTGAGTTCTCCTGTACTCCTGTGACTGCTCACCGCATTCTGGAGCCATGGGGAAGTTCCTGGTAGGCAGATTTCCTCGTCTATGCACAGAATTAGCGGCTATCTGGGAGGAATTCTGTTGTGAGAGGGGATGGAGCAGCTGCAATGCCGAGAAGTGAACAGATGGGGTTGTTTTGGACCAGTAGGGTCGAACAGGGAATACTGTAATGTGGATGTGAAGTAGCGAGGGCGGTTGGCAGGGTTATGTAACGAAATGCACACAGCTGGGAAGAATCATGTCTGCTGGATTAGGGAGGCCAGATGCAGGGCTCACTCCCGCTGCTTACGCGCAAAAGATGATTGTAACGCGGCTTTGTTCCCTCCCCAGCTGTGACACTCCACCTGTCTTGAAAACACCCTGTTTGAATCAGGGAAAACACGAAGTCCTGAAACGAATTAGGGTTAAACCGAGTCCTGATATATTATCAGTGAAACGGTGTCGTTTTGTTTACATAAAACAGAACTACTTGTAGGGATAAGGATGATATAACCTTCTGCGAACCAGTGCTTAGCTGACACTCAATTCTAACCATCTTAATAGGGTGGTTATGGTTTCGACCCTAAATATTTGACTTTCATGCTCTTGCTGTGACTGGAAATACCAATCTGGCGGTGGTGCTTCTGTTGTTCGTGATTTCGCTACATCCATGCGTGACTGTAAAGATACAGAATCGCATGCGACACAGCCAGCGGTGGGACATGTCGTCGACTGGTCCGCATTCCACGACCCATATTTTTTATGGAGCACCTGCGAGGCTGCGACCTGAAGGACGACGATCCAACCGTGCACAGCTGTCGCGAATGTGGCTTCAAAGGGCCAACAAACTATGCATACACGTCGTCGACCCTTGTTCTGAATTCCAGTCTAGGGTGGCAGATTTTGTGGCAGCCGACCGTCGAACCGGTGGCGCTTGGGGATCCGTGGACGAGAATGCCTCTTCGACTGACATTCATCATGTGTTTCTCCATCCCATGGGGAAAATCTTCTTGTCGAGTAAGATGAACCACAAACAATGTGGTAGATGGACGTCATTGGGTGATATTTCGAACCATATCCCATTGACCGTGAAATGCCTTCCGCGTGGCATTTTACAGCTCCATGCAGTTCAGATAGGCCACGCTCCCTCTGGCGGGTATCGCGGAACTTGAAGGACAGACCAGACCAGACCAGAGCTGAGGTCTGAAATTCACCACATTCGCGTGCCCGCCATGCTATGGCCAATTGAGGGTGACATGGGTGCAGCCTGATTTGTAGGACGCCTGCAGCTCTCTGACCGGAACAAAAAAATCTTTCTTCGTGATGGTCGTGCGTCTCCGTCAAGGCCACATCGTGCTGTCTTTACCTATCCAAGCGAATGCACGCACGTGATGACGCGCGCTCGCACCACAGCATCGCGCACTCCATTGTCAGACTAAGATCTCGTTATTAAGTACAAGCGGTGTTGCCTTAGCACTTTGTTCAGCTGTATTGGTAAAGTTGATTGGGCCATTCACCCCTTCGTGTTACCTGCAAAACAGAACCGTGTTCTGTCGAAGACTATATTACGCTGAATACTTTTTGAAGTGTAGAGAGTCTAAGCTATTATCTAGATAGTGAATCAATTCATTCGCAGAAAGGTTGCTGGTTGAGGTACGGATTCACGCCAGGTGGACCCACCACGCACTGGACCTGGTTGGCTCACTGTACAGGTAACGGGTGGGGACCGATGAAACTCCACTCTTCTGGTAACGGCTGTTTTGCCTAGATCTTCCCGCTGTTGTTACTGCACTGGCCTGCATTGTAACTCTCAGTGGCCACGTTTGCCCCACTGCGGTGTCAACTACCAGCAATGTGGGGCATCAGAAAGTGTCCCCAACGCAGCGCACGCCACGTGAGCAGCATGAGGGTTGCTTCTCTCGCTCCTTCGCTCCCAGCCCATACATGCACCGCGCTTCATGGCTCCTTTCCTCACCATTCTAGCTAGCATTCTTCATTCTATTTGTAGCACCCGAACATTTTGCCTGATTCACGGTTCACAACTCCTTAGTGATTTACGGGGCCGCCATCGTTTCCGCTCTGCGAGATTGGATAGTGCTGCAAGCTTGTAGATGTGCGATTTTCAGGATCCTTCTGGTTGAACCGGACGCGAGGGAATGCCGCCCACTATCGAAGCGTCCGCAGCTCCCGAGATCGGCAGACTGCTCCCGGCGCGAACCATCGCTCGCCGAGATTTGGCGCCGCATCGATCAGATATTATCATCCAAGGCAGATCGGATTTGAAGAACGAAGGCAGAACGGATTTGAGTTTAGAGGCTATTGAAGCGGAAGCGAGATTGACCTCACCGGCGGGTAGGATGGCTGTTATGGAGGCAGGCGAGCGGACGGCTGTAGCGGGCCCGGTAGACAGGGCGGGTGAAGGTGCGGTTGTAGCGGATCCAGTACATGGCGACGCGGGCAGGCAGTCAGCCGTCAGTGGAAGGAACGGAGCTGACGAGCCGGCGGAACAGCGAGTTTCCGCAAATCATAGCGCGGATCGCGGCGCGGATCAAGGCGGGGGGGGAGCACGCGCGCTGCAGGAATCGAAGGCGGCAGGGGCGGAGGAGGACGAGCGCAGAGACGACGGACTGAGCTTCTGGCAGCACATGGTCGCAGGGTCCGTAGCAGGTGCGTGTCGCTCAGAGCAGAGTGTCGTAGGCTGCGTCGCGGATCCCGGCCCGAACGCGAGTCCTAGCCTCGGCAGAAGTGTCGAGCTCGTCGCGCCGCCGATCCCGAATCGTTCACTCGCGCCCCCTGTCACTCGCCATGGCGTCGCCAGCCACTCTCTCACATTCTCAATTTCTCGCACAGTGAATTCTGAATCCACCTTGTCGCGTCGTCTCTCTCCGCTCCTCATCTCGGCGCGCCCACCAGGCAAGCCAGCTTCGTTGTCTGGCTCTGCCTCAAGGAGCACGCGGCATTGTTTCCTTTAGAATGTATTTATACTTAGTAAATTTTCAAAAAAAAAAAAACTCACTAGTGCTCCACCGTCCCGCCCGCCAGGCATGGTGGAGCACATGGCCATGTTCCCCGTCGACACCATCAAGACGCGCATGCAAGCGCTCGCCACCACCCCCGCCCCCCCCGTTCCCCCCGCACCCTCCGCACCCTCCGCCGCTTTTTCCGCCCTCCCGTCCGCATCCCCTTCCGCGCTTTCCTCCTTCTCGTCTCTCTCCGCCTCTAGGAGCGTCCCCGCTGCCACGTCATGCGCCTTCCAATCCACGTGTTCAGTCGCAAATCCAGCATCAGCAGCAGCGCAGAGCCTGTCACATTCGCCCACAATCAGGAATGCGGTTTCGTCTATCCTTAAAACGGAAGGTGCAGCAGGCTTATATCGGGGAATAGCTGCCATGGGTCTGGGGGCCGGTCCTGCCCATGCCGTGTACTTCGCCGTTTACGAAGCGGCGAAAGAGTCGTTACTGAGAAACAGCAGCAGTAGCGGCAGCAGCGTCTCCGATGGTTTAGGGTTTACGTCGGCTTTAGGGGTTTCGCTGCCGCCAGCGGTCGCACATGCGACGGCGGGCGCGCTGGCGACGGTGGCGAGCGACGCGGTGCTGACGCCGATGGACGTGGTGAAGCAGCGCCTGCAGCTGCGGCGCAGCCCCTATGCTGGCGTGGTGGACTGCTGCCGTAAGGTGGGTGGGGCGGTGGGTGGGGAGATGGGTGAGGCTGTGGGTGGGAAGGTAGGTAGTTCTTGAGAAATCTGCAAAATCCTTCATTAAGGCTGCAGCTGCGGCGCAGCCCGTATGCTGGCGTGGTGGACTGCTGTCGCAAGGTGGGTGGGGCGCAGGGTGGGGTTCCCTGAGATCCACAGCGGTTGGGGGGCAGCATAGACTGTGGGGGGTAGGCTAAGGGGGGCAGGATGGTGGGTAAAATACTGGGGAAGGGAGGGTCGGAGGGAAGGCTGGGGGCACACATTGTGAGGAAGGCATGGGCGTGTTGGGGATCGAGAAGCGAATACAAGTAGCTTAAACTATGGCAGCTCTCGTCTCGCCATTATGCTTTGCCAGCAGTGTACCGTCCATCAATTTCCTCTGCTTCTCCGCCACTCCCCCATCACCACTGATACCGCATGAACCCAGTGATGAGCCATGTGGTATGAGTCCCGTCCCTTCACTGCCATGTGCCCATCAACCTCCGTCCCACCATTCTCCCCCTTTTTCCTTGCTGATTCTCTTCCCTTCATTCATCCCAGATGCTGCAAGAGGGGGGAATTCACGCCTTCTATCGCTCCTACCGCATCGCGCTAGTTATGAACGTGCCCTTCACACCCGTGCTCATCACTAGTGTGCCCCCGTGCCCTCCCCACGTGTTACAGATGATACAAGAGGAGGGAATCTACTCCTTCTACCGCTCCTACCGCACCACGCTGGTCATGAACGTGCCCTTCACAGCCGTGCACTTTGCCACGTACGAGGCCAGCAAGGCGGGCCTGGGGCGGGCGCTACCGGGGGAGGCGTTACCTGGGGAGGGCGTGCTGGACGAGGATAGGCAGCTCACCCACGTGCTGGCGGGCGGCGCTGCTGGCGCGCTTGCCAGTGCTGTGACCAACCCGCTTGACGTTGTGAAGACCCGGCTGCAGTGCCAGGTGGGTGGAAGGGTGGACTGGGGGAGTTTATGGGTTGAGGAAGCACGACGCTGCTGGCGCGCTTGCCAGTGCTGTGACCAACCTGCTTGACGTTGTGAAGACCAGTGCCAGGTGGGTGGAAGGGTGGACTGGGGGAGTTTATGGGTTGAGGAAGCACGACGCTGCTGGCGCGCTTGCCAGTGCTGTGACCAACCCGCTTGACGTTGTGAAGACCCGGCTGCAGTGCCAGGTGGGTGGAAGGGTGGACTGGGGAAGTTTATGGGTTGAGGAAGCACGACGCTGCTGGCGCGCTTGCCAGTGCTGTGACCAACCCGCTTGACGTTGTGAAGACCCGGCTGCAGTGCCAGGTGGGTGGAAGGGTGGACTGGGGGAGTTTATGGGTTGAGGAAGCACGACGCTGCTGGCGCGCTTGCCAGTGCTGTGACCAACCCGCTTGACGTTGTGAAGACCCGGCTGCAGTGCCAGGTGGGTGGAAGGGTGGACTGGGGGAGTTTATGGGTTGAGGAAGCACGACGCTGCTGGCGCGCTTGCCAGTGCTGTGACCAACCCGCTTGACGTTGTGAAGACCCGGCTGCAGTGCCAGGTGGGTGGAAGGGTGGACTGGGGGAGTTTATGGGTTGAGGAAGCACGACGCTGCTGGCGCGCTTGCCAGTGCTGTGACCAACCCGCTTGACGTTGTGAAGACCCGGCTGCAGTGCCAGGTGGGTTGACTGATGGGTGTATGGGTGAACGCTGGCAGGCATGCTGGACGGGGATAGGCTGCTCACCCACGTGCTGGCGGGCGGCGCTGCTGGCGCGCTTGCTAGTGCAGTCACCAACCTGCTTGATGTGGTGAAGACACGCCTGCAGTGCCAGGTGGGTGGAAGGGTGTGGGCTGGGGAGGTGAGCCGTCACCATGTCAAGCAGGTGAGTGCTGGCGCTCTTGCTAGCGCCGTGACCAACCCGCGTGATGTGGTGAAAACGCGCCTGCACTGCCTGGTGGGTCGAAGGGTGCACGGGTGGGAAGGCGGTGCTGCTATGTGCAGTGCTTGGTGCAGAGTGTGTAAAGTGAAGCATCGGGGGTTTGGTGTGATGGTGTGATGGTGTGATGGTGTGATGGTGAATTTACGCGGTACTGTGTCACTACACCGTCACACCATCACACCATTCTGCACTGCCCACCTCCATTCCTCGCCTCACTGCCTCCTGCTCCCACACTGATACTTGTGCGTCGGTGACGGCAGCGCTTCGCAGCATAGTGAGGGAGGAGGGGTGGGGGGCAGCACTGTGTGACAACCCATGCTGCGCTCCCCTCTTCCACTCCTCACCAACTCTATCTGCCCTTTCCCATACGCGTGCATGCAGGGAGTGTGTGGGGTAAAGCGGCTGCAGAGTGCGTCGGTGACAGCAGCACTGAGCAGCATAGTGAGGGAGGAGGGGTGGGGGGCGCTGCTGCGGGGCATGCGAGCCCGCATGCTCTTCCACACCCCCGCTGCTGCTATTGTATGGTCCACCTATGAAGCTTCTAAGAACCTGCTGCGGGACTTGTGAGGGGGCATCGGGGGTGGGGTGTGTTAAGAGAGTGACACCAGTGCTATTTCTGTGATAAGAAGTCACGTGGGTGCCGCAGCATAGTGAGGGAGGAGGGTTGGGGGCCACTGCTGCGGGCCATGCGAGTGCATGTGCTCTTCCATACCCCCGCTGCTGCCATCGTCTGGTTCACCTACAAAGCTTCCAAGAAACTGGTTCAACGGACTGTTGTCACTGTGTTATGCAAAAGTACCAGTGTATCACACTTGGTACCTGAGTCAGGATATAGGAGAACGTGAGTAGGTGTATATTATGTGCTACGCTAAGTTGCTAGGTTGACCAGAAGCGTTCTGTGCTGCTAGCACCCTACTGCAGTTCGTGAAAGCCGCTGCTGATGCACCTTTTTCTTGCTGTTGTGGCAGCAAATGTTACAGTTCAGCAGTTGCACAATCCACCATCGACCGCATCAGTTGACTAAGCATGCTGAGCAACCATCTGCTTGTCGTCGTCTTGAAAACTGGCCAGCTGAACAGTATTCCACCGCCAACTCAAATTTCTCTTTCCTGCTTTCTACCTAGGGTACCATCCATGAGCCATCTCCCCTTGCTGCCCTCCTACCACCCTCCCTCTGCTCATCTCAATGCAACTACCAGTCATCCGGATTGATGTTGGCTGCGGGCATCTGAAAGGTGTTCCAAGTAGTTGGGCTGGGCAGTGAGCAGCTTTCTACCATTCTCAAGAAAGTATCACAATGCCGTATGACTGCTGGTACTCTTCAATGAATGAGCTGCTGCTGACAGTTGAGCGAGTGAGAGGTGATCGCTCAACTGGACTGGGCAGCTTTCGAGAACTCCCAAAACCAGATCCAAGAGCGCTACTGGTTGTCTTGAATGAGTGAGTTGCGGGCAGTGGAAAGATGCTCCGCATAGATGGGCAGCTCGAGGAGGAATGCGAATTTGATGAAGTGAGGTAGCATGGCGTACAGACCAGGGGGGAGCGGGATGAGAGGGCTGCACATACCAGGCAGAGAGGCACATAGAGGCAGCCAGTAGGAGGGGAGAGAGGCAAGCACACAGAATGGGCACATATGAGGTGGGTGCTGGAGTGCACACATGCGCCAGGGTGCGCATTGCTCTTCGAAACGAATAAACTGATTGGACGGAACTGACAGTGCCTCGCACACACACCTGGTGTTGGCACGGTACTGAAGATAATCAGCCCGCTGGCCAAACTTTTTATTTGCGGACTCCTGCCATGAGTGCGTGATGGGATTGTTGAGACAGGGATTAGGGGATGCATGCATGGTGGCAATGGGCAGGCATGGAGTGAGATATGTACAGCTGTTGACAAGGCATGAATCCAGCGCAAAGTGCATGGATTTAGAGATGCGTCAACCAATGCGACTATAAATGCAGTGATGAACGCAATCACAAACGAGCGCATGGTGCAGGGCATGCACTTCAATCAGAGGAATGCCAGAGACGAAGAGCAGGATAGCAGCAGTGACTTTTGAGTCGGCTCAAACGTCACCTTGTTACAACGACACACGACCTGCTGCACGCACCTCGAGCAGCGGCATGCCGGAGAGGAAGAGCAGGATGGCAGCAGTGAAGAGAGGACTCGCCACCGCTGCCCACTGCCACCCCTGTAGCACTTGCCAGTGTGGTGCCGCTACCAACCCTCGGGATGTGGTGAAAGAGAGCCTACAGCACGCACCTCAAGCAGAGGCATGCCGGAGAGGAAGAGCAGGATGGTGGCAGTGAAGAGAGGGCTTGCCACCGCTGCCCACTGCCACCCCTGTAGCACCGCAGAGCTCACCACCAGCACCCCCACCCACGCTAGAATCTGACAAGGGACACATGGAGAGGGAAAGTTGGGTGGATGTGGGAGGGTGGTGTGGCAGCAAAGAACATGCCCATGTAGCGGCAAGGCTACTCAATGTGCTTCTTTCTCACCCTGTTCTTCTGGAACAGATTCCTCACCTAGGCTGTTACATCAACTTCTCTGTACGCAGTGCCATCTCTCATCCAAACTCCCTCCAACAATTTCTCGGATCATAAGCTATTTTCACACTCACCTCCCCATACCCACTCACCTAACATTCCCACCCTGCACTCACCTCGCCACAGTAATTGGGGTGGCGGGACCACCCCCACACGCCCACGTCACACCACCGCCCGCGGTTGGCAGCATCTGCCTTGAACCGCAGCTTCTGCTGGTCTGCCGCCCCCTCCAGCAACACCCCTGCCGCCCACAGCGCACAGCCCAGCGCGTCTACAGGGCCCAGAGGGGGGTTACGCGTGACTGTGGCGTTGACGATTGTGACTGGGAGCGACACCACCCACACCCACACTGCCTGATTAGACGAGGAGAGGAGAGGGAAGCAGGGAATTAGACAGGCAGAGAGCGGGGAGGGCCCAGAGGGGGGTTGCGTGTGACTGTGGCGTTGACGATCGTGACTGGGAGGGACACCACCCACACCCATACAGCCTGATGAGACGAGGAGAGGGGAGGGGGGGAATTAGAGAGGTAGAGAGTGGAGGCAGGTAGAGTGTGGAGTGACCACAGGCAGGTAGAGTGTGGAGAGACCACAGGCAGGTAGAGTGTGGAGAGACCACAGGCAGGTAGAGTGTGGAGAGACCACAGGCAGGTAGAGTGTGGAGAGGCCACAGTAAGGCAGAGTGTGACGTGTGGGTGGTACCTGGAAAACCCAGAAGATGGCAAACTGCAGGACGTTGTTGCGCGTCTGATCGAATCTGTGGTCCTCCCCCCATGCGAGGATTCTGGCAGGCGCGCAGGGGACAGAGGGTTGGGAGGAGCGATTGGGCTGTAAGATAGGGAGAGAGAGTAGGGTGGGAGATGACGGGGAGCGAAGTGATAGAGAGGAGGGTCAGGAGTAACGGGAGACTAGGAGAACAGTTACGGTGATAGCAAGTGAACACACCGGAAGAGAAGGAAAAGGCCGAGGCGAAGGCCCCAGATGACGACAAGAGATGTCACCAGGACCTGCACGGACCCAGGCAAGCCGCAAGTGAGGGGCAAGAAACGAGAGCCGAGAAACAATGAGCAGGGGGATCATAGCCTCCTAGCAAGACCTTCCGAAGGTCGTCATTCCGACACTTTCTACGAAGGTGGTAACCTGAGTTTTCGCGAGTACCTAAGTCACGAGAAGGAATTTTTATAGAGTATGTTACCTGCCGCCAGTACCAGGTTCCACTGAGGAAGGAGGTGAGGAGAGCGAGGACAATGAAGTTGGTGGTTCCTGAAAACGGCATCGCATGAAAAGAACACGTGTTGATTTCAATTTACCAGCCAAAAAAGCTACGGAATGTCGGAACGGATGATTGGGCGAGAACGAGCACTCTGAGGAGCCTGCTATATTGGCTGTGCTCACCCGCAAAATCGGTGACTTTATCGAACTTGAACCCAGCAGCAATCACGAAGAATGATAATTGATACGCAATGGTGACTACAGCGGTGATCGCGAGATAGTTGGAGTCAGTCACAGCCGCCATGGCGTCTGGGAGCACACTCGTAAGAGCCAAGGATGACTGGTGTTTAGAGATGCGGATACGTCTAGAAAGGCTGAATACTGGCGTGCGGGAGGGGACGAAGGGACAACTGGCAGAATGAAAAATCGCTGACGGAATTCGATGCCGTGAGTCAGTCAGACGTTGACGCAGATGAGACCGAAAACACTTCCACGCGAAGACGCTTAGGCTCTGAAGGCCTATGTTAGTTTTACATGCAAGATAGAGACTTGAGTGCTGACATAACCCAGTTATAGTCCTCCCTGTTTGTGTCGTGCCCATCACCAAGCTCTACCAGGCCGGTTCCGCCATAGATTACCCATGAAACTTTACATTTTGCTCCTGCTGGAATTGCACTTCACTTGCTGATGCTGGAAATGAAGCATCCAGCTGGTTTCTGTGCGTGTTCCTTGCAGGGGGGGCAACGTGGGAAGTCAGTTCGGTGGTGGCGAAATGTTTGGCGAAATTCCGCTTTTTTCTGGCTGAAGTTCGCCTTGTCTGCTGCTTCGTGAACCCAGACACCGTCAGCCTTTCTCCTGCCACGTGTATATCGCAATTCTCGACGCTCAGAGGGCCACAGAAGTTTACGGCTCGTCAGATTGGGCCGCCACCCGGCCTAGCCTCAACCAATATCTGAGGCTTGGCCGAGATCGAGAGCCACAGCTTCGTAGACACCTCGATGTTTTCCAGATCGAATCTGACGGCTTAGAAGCCTTTACACCTGGCTTCTGACGGACAAACCACATCACTTCCTCAAAGAGAGAATTGCTCCAGGGCCTTGTTTGGTGATTCGCTCTTGCCCGCGTGTCCCCGAATTGCTCGCGTGGCCATCCAATTCAGTGATAATTGCTCGAGTGGCCATGCCAGGGCATTTTCGAGGTGTTTTGTTTCCCTGGCACATTACCCTACAAGGGTTCGTACCCCCTAAATTCCTCGTTCGCACAACAGTAGATGCGCGGTCATTTTCGGCCCAATGCGCGACCAATGAGCGCGTGGGCAAATACATCAGCGATACATCTGCAAATACATCATTGTGCCATCATTGTACTCACAATATGCTGCAAACATATTACCGGCAATACAATATTATGGACCACGGTTATGCTGGGCTTAAAGTAATGGCAGAGAATATATTTATGACATTTGATATATGGTTTTATATGGCATTTATGCTCCGGCATTGCAGATGTATCGCTGATATATTTGCCCACGCGCTCATTGGTCGCGCATTGGGCCGAAAATGACCGCGCATCTACTGTTGTGCGAAAGAGGAATTTCGGGGGTACGAACCCTTGTAGGGTAATGTGCCAGGGAAACAAAACACCTCGAAAATGCCCTGGCATGGCCACTCGAGCAATTATCACTGAATTGGATGGCCACGCGAGCAATTCGGGGACACGTGGGCAAGAGCGAATCACCAAACAAGGCCCTGGAGCAATTCTCTCTTCCTCACACCACCACCACCACCCTCTGCTCGAGTATTCTCTGCAAGTCCATGGCTGCGCTTGGATTCAGGTCTTTAACGTATGATTGAAGCGTGCTTGCTATAGCATATCATCTAGGCAACGAATTCCACTCATCATTACGCTCTTTCGCCGTGATTGCGAAGCAAATTTCTCAGGGCTCTTTTGCGTCAGCTTTGCATCAGCCTTAGCCAGTACCCTGCATTCAAAGCAATAAATTGTATCAGTGTAACCCCATTAGGACCTTGCGAGGTTCTCATGCCGCCATAGAAGCAACAATGTCAACTGTTCAACCCGCTCGAACCGTGAATCATGGTCACTTTCCGCTCACTGGAGAATCAAATCGCATCTCCAAGAGCCAGATCACACGCATTGTCAATGGTTCCTCCCATCAGCCAGTTTTTGCGCTTCACCCTGTTCTTAGCGGTTCGGCTAGCAAAGGATTGAAATCCCATTCCTGTCAACTTGTTAAATCTGACTGCAAGGTCAATTCTACGATTCGTCGCCGGTTAAAAATTCCCTGCTTCTTGCACCGTCCGTCTCCTGCATCATTCCCGTCGTCCTCGTCGTTTCCAATTCATAATCGTAACAGTCGTCGCCAGACTATCGTTTGCCAAACAGCATATGGAAGCAGCCCTAGCGAGTGGTCACTGGGTGACCAGCAAGGGCCGGGACGAGGTGGGACAGGAGGAGGGGTGTGGGAAATCGAGTCGTATGAAGAGGCGCAAATGGGTTCAGAGACAGGGATAGAGGAGGACAACGGAGCTCTAACGGGATCGCCCACCCGGCGAGAGCAATACAAGGGTTCTGCTCGTGAGGTAGAGGAAAGCGACGGTGCTCGTCGAACGAGCCGCATTTCAGCGGACGCGCACTCGACTGGCCACGAAGCCACGCCAGGAGTCGAGAACGGGAGCGCTGCAAGAGAGAGTGTTTCCGCGGCCGCTCATGATTCCAGCAAAGTAAACGGCGGGGTTCGAGCAAGTGTTAATAGCGGATCTGAGTTCAGGGAGCAGGAGGATTCGCGGAATGCCGTGCTACCGGATGAGAAGGCGGGGTTTCCAGAGGCGTTTGGAGACGCAATGCGCAGAATTCCAGTGGCTGTTTGGAGGGCGATAGCTGTGCTGCGCACCGTGCTGCCACGCGGGAGCTGGTGGGACCTGCAGCAGCTGGCAGGGGGGAAGGCAGTACGCGGGAAAGAGGCCAATGGTAGCAGCAGTGCGGATAACAATGGGAAAGGGAGCGGGGGCGGGGATTCGGCGGGTGAGCTGTGGGACGCCATTCGCAAGCTCTGGCGGTTCTGCGCGCCCAACAAGACCATGCTCGTCCTCGCCTCGCTCTGCCTCGCCCTCGCCGCTGTCAGTCCTCATCCCTTCCTCATCACCCTGCTTCCCCTCTCACCTCTCCCCTCCGCCCGGCCAGTCTGTATCTCAAGCCAGAGACGCATAGTTCGCTCAGTGTTCTTGTTGGTCTTTCGAGAACTCCTTACCGCTCACGCCTCTCACCACCTCCCCTTGGTGTCCGTTCGTCCACGTCCCCCATGATCACCATACAATCTCCCCATTTCCTACGAGACTGCATCTTTCCCCCACGTCTCCCCCCAAACCGCTTGAGCATTCGCCACTTCTTCCACTCTCACCCAACCCCTCATCGCTTGGGCGTGCGCCACCAGCTGTCAGAGGTGACCATCCCGCACTTCCTGGCGGCCACCATATTCGCTGCGTCCAACGGGCTCAAACCCCAGTTTGACAGGAACGTGCAACTCCTCATCACCATGACTCTCGCCTGCGGACTCTTCAGGTGTGCGTCATGTTCAGGTGTGCGTCATGTTCAGGTGTGCGTCATGTTCAGGTGTGCGTGATGTTCTGGAGTGCCCACAAGCAACTTGATCGACTCTGACTTGGCCTGCTCTCCCCTGGGCTTGTCTCGCCTTTGTCATGTCCGTGCAGTGGTCTGAGGGCCGCTTCTTTCACCATCCTCAACCTCCAAATGGTCAGTGCAGACTGCCAAGCACCCTAACTCTCACATGCCTGCTTGCGCTCTTTTTCTAGTCGGCCCATAACTTCTTTCACCATCCTCAACCTCCACATGGTCAGTGCAGACTGCAGAGCGCCCTAATTCTCACAAGCCTGCTTGCACACGAACACTCTCCTTCATAGTCCTTAGCCTATCTGCACGACCTTGCACTCCTCTCCTCTTGCGGCACATGCTGCTCCCTTTATGCCATTCTATTTCGCCATGTCATCTCCTTCTTTGACCCCCACCCCTGAGGCCAATCATATCTCTCTCTCCACTTGTCCAGGTGCGGCGAATGCGGCTGGCTCTCTACGAGACGCTCATCCGGCAGGACATTGCTTTCTTTGACGGGCAGTCGGTGGGCGACCTCACGTCCCGCCTCGGCTCCGACTGCCAGGCTGCCGGGCACACCGTGGCCATTGACCTCAACATCATGCTGCGCAACGCCCTGCAGGTGGGGCGCTGGGAGGGAGGGAGGGAGGGAGGGAGGGAGGGAGGGAGGGAGGGAGGGAGGGAGGGAGGGATGTTTTGATTGAGGTACGGTGCACGTTAAGCAGTGCGCATCAGTCAACGAGAGAGGCACACCGTGATCTCAGCATGATGCTGTGCAACACCCTGCACGTATCCGCGCTGGCTTAGAGAAAAAGCCGTTCATGTGGCATGTGCATTGCCTCGAATCCTCAGTTTGCCGCATGCCGCCACCACCACATGCCCTCTTACCCTTTCCACCCCTTCCACCACACACCATTCCCCCATCCGCAACCCACGCATCCGCCGTCCCGTAACCCCTATCTCCCATGCTCGAGCAGGGCATCGGGGCGTTTGTGTTCCTCATTCGGCTGAGCTGGCAGATGGCCCTGGTGACTGCTTCCCTCTGTGGCCTCATGTGGTACCTGCTCATGGTGTATGGCAGGTATGTTGCGGGGTCTGCTCATGGTGTATGGCAGGTATGTTGCGGGGTCTGCTCATGGTGTATGACAGGTATGTTGCGGGGTCTGCTCATGGTGTATGGCAGGTATGTTGCGGGGTCTGCTCATGGATTATCTCTGGCGCTACACTCACTAATCTTCAACTCTCACTGTCGAAAATCATCCAGCTGTTCTCAGCGTCCCCTCTCCCACTCCCAATCTTCTCTCTTCCCAACTCCTCTGTCATCATCTCTTTGTGTTCACCTCACCCGTTTTCACTTGACTGCCTTTCCACCCCACGCCTCCTCACCGCAGCCCCACTCCCCCCTTTCCGATGCCATGCTTCCCACCCATTGTTGCTCTTCTTTGCCGCCCACTCCGCTTCTCTGCCGCCCAGCTTCTCCCGGCGGAGCTCCATGGTGGTACAGGACACTGTGGCCGCCGCCAATGAGGTGAGGAAAAACCCGGGCAGGAATTCAAGTGAGTTTGTAGGCGCTTCAAAGCACTTCTTTCGGCGGAGCTCTATGGTGGTGCAGGACACTGATGCAGCCGCCAATGAGGTGAGGAAAACCCACCAGAGATCCATGATTCAATGCTTGACTGCAACTGCTACTTCAGACGCTTACTGTAATTCGACCTTGCAGTCTCAGTGGGGTTCAACAGTGAGGGGAGTACGTGAGGTGAGACAACCGCCAAGAAAACCGATTTGTTGGTGATCCAATCTCTTGGTCACAAAAACGTTTCCACTTCAGCTCGATGTTGATTATCCATCACATTTTTTTTTAGCTCAGGATCCCGGACATTTCTTTATTCGCCTTCAGTGCTCCTCCTTATTCCCCCATCCCTCCACACCCTTGTCCTCCTCACTGCGCCATTCCCACCCCTTCCCGCTTATCGTATCCACAGGTGGCGGAGGATACACGACAACCAGACCCATTCTCACCCCTCCAGACCCATCCTCACCATGCCATCCTCAACCCCCATTGACCTCATTCCCAGGTGGCAGAGGAAACGTTGTCACTCGCCCGAGTGGTGCGGACCTTTGGCACTGAGAGCAAGGAGGTGAAGAGGTGAGGCCACTCTTTATGCAATAGGCTGTCTGCCCCAACCTCCATTTCATGACTTCTTGAGTGCATTTTGATTGGACTGCATTCCCTGTTGTCCTCTTCTTACTGCCTCCTGCTACACCGCATTGCGTCACTGTCCGTGCTTTTCAAGCAACCCGTTCACCACAAAGCAAATTCTGTGTGCATGAAAGTGTGCTTATATCGGACTGTGTGTGCATGTGAGTGTGCTTGTATCAGGTACGAGGTGCCTCTTCAGCGCATAGTGAATGTGGGTCTGAGGCGGTCCGTGGCGTATGGTGTGTGGACGTGCACCGGCAACACCATCTATAACGCCACTCAGGTACAGTTGGTTCTTTTTACAGCGCGCGCCGGCAGCGTGCAATCGCATGCCGGCAGTGATGTCGAAAGCGGTGCAGTACGGTTGGAAGGTGTACAGTCCGTCCATATATGTCTGCCAGTAGCCTCATCCCCAGTCTTACAGTTCCACGTCCCCTTACCTTTTCTCACACCTCTCCCCCGCACACACAATCACCAACAAGCTTCACCCATCCTCCCACCCCTCAGGTGCTTGCTCTGATCATGGGCGGCGGGGCGGTGATGGCAGGGCGCATAACAGCGGAGCAGCTGACGCAGTTCATTCTGTACGCGGAGTGGGTGGTGCATGCCACGTGGTGGGTGGGCGACCACTGGGCCTCCCTCATGGACTCGGTGGGCGCCTGCCATCGCGTGTTCCAGCTGCTCGACCTGCCTCCCTCAGAGCAGCTCACTCAGAACCATGGTGAGAGGGCCCACACAGGGCCATGTTGGGAGTGCTGCTCACACAGGGGAAGAGTGAGTGGGTGTGCCTCTATGGGAGTCAAGAGTAGAATACGGGCTCCTGTCATCGCATCTTGTCACTACAGCTCTGTTAGGTCCTATGGGCACATGATGCTGCGTGTGGTATCCCTGGGCCTCCCTTAAGGACTTTGTTGGCCCGTCCCATCCCATCACATCACACTGCTACCCTCATCCCACTCAACTCCCTGATCACCCTCAACTCCATCATCCTCAGTCTTCCCACTCATCCTCCTCATCCCCCAACCCTCACCTTTCCATCCTCGCCTTGATTGCTCCCCTGCCCCCGGCCTGGCATCAGGCCGAGTGCTGCCGTCGCTGAGCGGCAAGCTGGAGTTCCGAAATCTCTCCTTCCGCTACCCCACCCGCCCTGAGGTGCGCCCACCCGCCCTGAGGTGCGCCCACCCGCCCTGAGGTGCGCCCACCCGCCCTGAGGTGCGCCCACCCGCCCTGAGGTGCGCCCACCCGCCCTGAGGTGCGCCCACCCGCCCTGAGGTGCGCCCACCCGCCCTGATTTGCGCCCACCCGCCCTAAAGTGCACCCCACCTGCACTGAGGTAGCAGAAAGAAATGAGTTCTCTCTGGATAATGCTATCAGCTTCCCTCCCTCCCTGCTAATTACATTTTTCCTTGCTCCACACTCACTGCCTCTCCCTCCCTCTCTTCCCCAACCCATATTTATGTTTGCCATCAACTCCCCTCCTGCACTTACAGTCACCCATGTTGGATCAACCACTGCTGTACCCCCCCTCCCCTGCTCTGTCCCCTCTATAGGTACCAGTGTTGGATCTCAACATCAAATGAAAGTAACCACCCCTCCTCCCCTCTCCCCCCCATTCCTCTCTCTGCAGGCACCGGTGTTGGATCACATCAACCTCACCATCCAACCAGGCGAGCTGGTGGCGCTGGTGGGGCTCAGTGGAAGTGGCAAGAGCACTCTAGTAGGGCTGCTGCAACGCCTCTACGAACCCACAGAGGGGGAGGTGAGAGGAGTGGGTGAGAGAAACAACATGCATTTGCTCCGCTCTGCAATGTTGATGGATTTTCGTTAATGGCTTCGTACTGTCTGTCTGTTCACAGGTGCTTATAGACGACGTGCCTCTACCAGAGATTGACATCGCATGGCTGAGAAGCCACATTGGCGTCGTCAGCCAGGTGATCTCGCCTCTACCCCACTCTCATTTTACTCGTCCCCCACTCTCCTTTTACCTTTCCCTGCTTACCTTTAGTTTTCTCTTCCTAGTCTCCCACTTTCTTCCTCCGATCGCTCCGAAGGCATTTTCTTCATGCAAAGTCAATCACCCCTAAGCAATCAACAAACATGCTCACTCTACACACCACACACTCCGCATTGCATGTGAATGATGCGCAGAATGAACAAGACCCATCTTTCCACCAATTTTACCATACCTTGCACTCCACTCACCACTCCTCACTCCCCACTCCCCATTCCCCATTCCCCATTCCCAACTCTCTACTCCTCCCCGCCCCACACGGCTCCATCAGGAACCCCGTCTCTTCAGCACAGACGTCGCATCCAACATCGCTTATGGAAGCAGAGAGGAAATTTCCCAAGAAAAAATTACCCGAGCTGCAACCCAGGCCAACGTCCATCAATTTGTTTCAGGGCTGCCCGAGGGCTACGACACAGTGGTGGACAATGCGCGGCTGAGTGGCGGGCAGAAACAAAGAATAGCGATTGCCCGTGCTCTAGTGCGCGACCCCACTCTGCTGATTCTGGATGAAGCCACGAGTGCTCTGGATGCTGAGAGCGAGCACTACGTGCAGGTGAGGGGAGGAGGGGGGAGGGGGGCGTGCGGGGAGAGTGTGGTGTGGAGTGCAGAAAAATAGTGAGCTGCTGCCTTTTGCTGTAAGGAAGGGGGAAGGCGTGGAGTGCGTGCAGGTGAGTGCGCTCAGTTCCCCATCCTGCTGCTCACCCTATTTGTCAAATCTATCAACACTCCGTCACGTTGTGTCTCTCGCCAATGTGAGTGTTCCTGCAGATGGCGTTGGACCAGGCCATGCATGACGATTCGGCAATGGGAAGGAGAAAACGGACCATCATTGTGATTGCTCATCGGTATGTTGGATTTCCACTGCCCATTTACACTGCATTCGCTGCCTGTCATGGTGTTGCATTCGGCTCTCGTAATGATACTCAGTGTCTGTGGATTGTCACCTCAATCGTGCTGGAACCCCGTTACATTCGTTTGTGTGTCCATCTCTTTCCCACAATGCCAGGCTATCCACGATTCGCTCCGCAGATAGAATAGTGGTCATGTCAGCAGGCAAGATTGTCGAGGTGAGGAGGGTGCTTTTGGGATTTATGTTTGGATGCTTGGTTGCCCAATTATCTTTACTACCTCGTAATCTATGTCGGTCTTTCAGGTTGGCACGCACCAGCAGCTGATGGATAGGAAAGGGGAGTACATGAGACTGCATTTGCGCCAAATAGAAGCCCTTGCCTGATTATTGCAGAAGTATAATATGTGAATTGTGGTAGGCGTGTACCGGCTCGCTTCTGCTATCGAAGTCGATTCGATAAGGCTGTACGCGAAATCTCCGGCTTGACCCCGCGAGTCAAACAAATTTACCCACCAACCTCACTCCAGTCACTTGCGAAGCAAGTGTACAGAACGACTTTTGTCGCGACGGTTGTTGCTGTTCTGCTGACTTGCTGTATGCTGCCTGCACCTGCCCGCCGATGCAGCTCACCCGTGCTGTGCTGTATCCGTGGCTTTCGTCGAGTTACCATGTGTATCCAGCATGGAAGGCAACAGTTTCGTCCAACAACGTTCCTCTCACCTCGACTTATCCAATCAACCATCTCACAACTGACTCTCGCACACCTCACCGAATACGGCAGCTCCTGATTCGGCCGCGAAAAACGACTCCCGTTTTCGTCAGTGTCGCAACATATATGTGGGTTGGGGCTGATTCCAATCCTGCGCGTCGTATCTTCGCTTGGATTGGCTGTAGAGGAAAATTAGTGTTCTAGAATCTAGGGTGCTTCTCCAGAAAGCGCCGTAATTTTCAGCATTTGCCAGCATGCACGAGTTACGTATGTACGGATGGTGTCAAGTTTTTTTTGCACAGCTCTCGGCGTAAAGCTGACTGCCACGTCACACATATAGCGCACGGCAGACGGCAGATGGGAATGGGTCGCGAGCAGGGCAACGATCAGGAGCTTATTCTGGGCCTGGGTGTCAGTCACGCCGGCAATGTGCTTATATCGCATAGTTCCAGCTCATTAGCGGATGACTTTAACGAGGTGCTTCGCGAAGCCATCCCCCAAGTACCGCCGCACGTGCGATGGTTCTCCGTCGTAAGTGGATCATGGTAGCGCCATTTCCGTCGCATGATGCGACTCAATCGCTCCACATTCTGCCTCCGTCATTTAAATCGCTCACCGCGTTTCGTTGGCTGGCCGCCTTTACCAGACGGTCGCCCGCCGTTCCGCTGTTCGTTGCTTCCCTCCCCAGGTTCATCACCCCGCCTTCCCCCACCTCACTCCACTCCAATGCTCTCTCTGACCTCACCCTTCCTTTCCCCCAATGCCTTCCCCTTCTCTTCCGCCCTTCTGCCGGTGCCCCCAGAGTCACGATCAGCGCATGATCATCCACCTCATTCACCGCAAGCAACCGGGCGCGGAACCGCCACTCGCGGGAACCTCCGCCTGCGGCGGCGCCACCATCGTCACCGCCGCGGCGCACGTGTGCGCGGATCGGCTGCGCGTTCGCCGCCTGTTACAGTCCCTCCTGGACGAATGCGCCGCGGAGCTGCTGCCGGCGGTTGACGCCGCGGGGGAGGCACAGGCGCAGGCGCACGCCGCGGAGCGCGATGGCGGAGCGGTGCAAAACGGAGCGGCAGCAACAGCCGCGGAAGAGCCCAATGTTTTACTGTCAGAGAGGAAAAAACAACAGCTAGAGAAGCTAGGGCAGCGGCTTAGGTCTTTAATCGCATCGCATAGGGGCGTGGTGCCTCCGCGCCCCGTCCTGATGCTCTACCCCGGTGCGCCCAAGCGCTTCCTAACGCGCGCGCCCGAACCTCCCCCGTGGGAAGGCGGCGCGGGGGGAGCGGCGGAGGAGGAGGGGCGGAGGGTGCTGGCGTGCCGGCGCACGCGGCTGCAGAAGGAATTGGCGGAGCTGGATGAAAACGAGGATGATGATAACGAGGATGACGCGTTTGTGTTCAATGTGGCGGGGAGAGTAGGAGAGGGGGGAAGTCAAGGGGGGCTGCGCGGGGCTGCGAATGGGGGCGCTGGGAATGGCGGCACTGGGAATGGCGGCGCTGGGAATGGCGGCGCTGGGAATGGCGGCGCTGGGAATGAGGGCGCTGGGAATGGGGCTATTGAGAGGGTGTTGGATGAGGGAAAGACGAGAGAGGGAGCAGCAGCCCTTACAGCAGAAGGAGCAGCAGCAGGTGGGGCAGGAAAGAGAGAACAGCCTTCCCAGGCACCAGCTAACGCTGAAACATTAGCCCCGTTGCGACCACCGCCGCAGCAAGAGCAGCTGCATGGAGAACAAAAGCAGCAACAGAAGCAGCAGCTGGTGCTGCAACCGCAGCAGGAGGAAGAGAAGGCAGAAAGGCAGGAGCCAGCCCAACCGGGGGTGCAACAAGCAGATTCTCTGGGAGGGTCAGGGTGGACCAGCCCCCTGGCCTCTGCTGATTTCTCCTGGGCGGCACACGTGGCACCTGAAGGCTTGTTAGGCAGCATTGCCAGCGCTGTAGCAGCAGTTGCTTCAGGTTCTTCCACACCCCCTTCACCCACTCCACAAGGCAACACCAGTACACTCCCCCATGCTCCCCCTGCTCCCTCCACCCCCCCACCTACCCCCACTCCTGGTTCTGCCGCCTTTCCCCCCCGTCCTGCCACTCTCACCACTCCTGCTCCCACCATCACCTCCGCATCTCCCGGCCCGGCCAACCCTAGCGGGCTCTTCCAATCAGGCATGAGCGTGATATACGAGTCAGCACTGGCGTTCTCAACAGAGTATACCAATACAATGCGCACGCTCACACACACCACCAGCGCCACCAACGCCAACTGGTCTACCCAGTTTTCCAATATGGTTACCGCTGCTGCCATTGCGGCCGGCACCCTGGCCAGCGGCCCTGCTGTTTCAGGGGAAGCTTCAGGTGCTGCTGCTGGTGATGCTGCAGTTGGGAACAACAGGGGAGCAAACACCGCCTTTCACGCTGCCAAAGCAGCTCCGGGTAATGCTGGGTTACCACCAATGCAGGGCAGGCCTAGGGATGGGAAGGTGCGGGGACGGGTTGGTGACGTGGCGCCGTCAGGGCTGACGTGGGAGGAGGAGATTGCGTCCCAGCTGGCTTCTGTGGGCGTGGCTGTTTCGTCCTGGGGCCCCGGGGAAGAGGCGCGGGCGGAGAGGGGAGATGGTGGTGGAGGTGGAGGAGGGAGGAGAGAAGGAGTAGGAGGGAATGTCGAAGCAGCAGCGGAGGCTAGTAATGGCGTGTCACTCGCAGCGACAAAAGCAGGAACAGGAGCGGCAGCAGAGAGGGAAGACACTGCCCCTCCAGCAGCCCCTGCCGCAGCTTACCCAACAGCAAGGAGTGGTGGCAGCAGGGCGAGGACTCAGAGCATGGTGGGACTGGTGGGGGGAGGCAGGGCAGCAGCAGGAGCCAAAGGAGCAGATGGGGGGGTGGGGGGCCGGGCCACTCTAGGCATACATGTGGGGAGGGGTCAGTCAGGGCACAACAGGGCGGCATCTGTAGCGGCGTCTGTAGCGGGGGCACCGCCGCCATCCCCAGGGAGCGGAAGCAAGGGGGGATTTGGGTTTGGGAGCTTTTTCTCCAAAGGGTGGCGAAGGGCGTTCAACCTGGAGTGACTGTAAAGAGGCTTCGGGCCAAGGGGGTACGGTAGAAGCCGTGCCGTGGCTGTGGTTAGAGGAGAGAGGAGAACCCCTGTGCTAAGGGCCAAGGGGTTGAGAAATGCTGTCACCTGGTAGTGAGGCACTGTGCAGTGCAGGGAGAATGTATGCGCTGTGTTCCTTCGTGCGAATGCGTGTTGTGGTGTGGAGGTGGTGTCATACCGTATGTTACAGTTTTAGCGATTGGTTATTGTCGTTTGAGAATGCCAGCACTGGGATGGTGATTGTCTTTTGAGCGGAGGAATGTCCTTTCAGCATGCAGGGGTTTGGGTTCAAGACTGCTCTCACCTTGCAGAGTTCACTGCAAAGGACACCCACCACACTTTGGCCATGCCATCCAAGCACAATGGTTCATCTAAGTGCACCGTTTCCCTCCTCGAGTAAGGTAGACGCAAGTCCCTCAGAAATGCCACATCATCTCACTTGCTCACATGCATCTCCCACAGCAGCACACACACCTGCCACCGATGGGCTGCCCTGCTGCAGTCACAGCAGCAGAAACCCATCCATGGGGTGGGGTGCTGCTAGGAAGTGTGCAAGCATCATGTCACTAAATCCATCATCATTGGGACTCGGGGTCAAACTGACCAGACAGATGGCAGGAGGGATTGAGACGGCCATCCAGTGAAGGGTTCAATGAGAGTAGGGAGAGGAGGGTAAGAGGGGTGAAGAGAAGAGGGAATAACGTTGTGCGCCCATAGGAGGAGAGAGAGGACTGTCAGCAAGATGGAATGAACGACTCAGACGAAGTGAGCTCGTTTGGGATTGCATAGTCGATTTTCAGAATGCAGTGCGCATAAGTAAGTTGACAAATAAAGGGGTTGGGGAGTATGCACTGAAGCATTGGAATTATCACCCTTATTGACTGAGCCCGACAGCTTGAGCTGGCGTGTCATGACATCACATCAGAGCCCCACAGCACTGCGAATCTCATCCACACTGCACCCCTCTCGGAATAACCCGCAAGTCAGGGCCACCTCGCGCAGCTTCTCAGAAACTTCTGTAGCCGGCCAAACCATCCTGGCGACTAGTAGAGCTTCTAGAAACCCTAGGAGACAGCCAACGGCCACATCCAGAACGAAATGCCGTCCGAGGAACACTCTGGAACCTGCAGTAGCAGCTCCCCACACGGCAACCGCTGCGATAAGTAACCAAACCCTAAATTCCGGGCTTAGATCGGCTGATAAGGAGTTTCTGAGGCTTTCCAGGAGCAGCCGACGCAGATTCGGCGGGATCAGGCGGCTGGGGTTGGCGGGAAGCATGTGGCCGAATTCGGTGGAGATGGGTGGGAGGAGGTGGAAGAAGAGCGCTGCGATCATGATGGCACGCGACGCGTGGCCGCTGGGGAAAGACCACTGATCGGGCGCCACGACGACCAGCATCCCGCGATTGTAGTGTGGCCGCGGCCGGCGAAACGCGACCTTGAGAATACCGACGACCGCCAGATCGAGTATGCACGCGAGGAACGTTCCTAGAAATATCTGACGGATCGTCGCGGTGGTGAAGACGGGAGAAAGCCAGAGCGCGAAGCAGAGAGGGAGGAGGAGGCGGCCATCGCCGGATCGCTCGAGGAGGATCAGGAAAGAACGGAAGATCGGCAAATGCTCGGTGGCTTTATACAGGCGGGTCGACACAGCAGTGTCTCGAAGTACTAGCCACGTCAGAAGATCAGGAACTGACCGATCTGCAGCCATAAGGGGGGATTCTGATACCAGTACTAATTAGTTGCATAGATACCTATGTCCTGACCTGACTAGGTGAGGAATGGTTCTCGTCACCAAGAATCTGGGTCCGCGCTAAGGCCAGATTTGCAGGAATTAAATCCTACTTTATCACTTGCTGGATAAAAATTGAATAATAAAGGTTCTGTATATCAGCTGTAGCCTGTAACACTGCATGGGGTGGTCATGGGCTGGAGTCGAATACGACCTGCGCTTCGCTTCATGACTTCGCGAACGATCTACAGGTGACATCAACAGAATGCCGCGTCAGCAGCATCGCTCTGAGCTGTCCTCGTTCCCAGGAGAAACCCGAGCAGCGGAGTTTTCTGTTCATACAGAAGTAATCTTGGATTCATAATCGAAGGGGGAGGAATTTGAAAGGAGACCTGACCTGGCCTCGGTATGCATGCTTGAAGTGGACTGCTTTGTCGCTATGGCCCACCCAACAACGTGTTTCCTGTGAAATTCCGTGGCATCAGAAAGTAGTCCGTGTTTGCCTTTGCTAGTTCCCTTGCACCCGGAATTTCGGTGCTGAAAGTTTCATGTAAGTATGTTTCTCACTAAAATACTAGACCTTTGGTACCATCCGCTTCTAGTGATGCAAATTGGAGTGAACATTGTTCAATTTCTAGTTCACGCTGATAAATTTGTAGACGCAGAAATACCTATCACAGGTTGAAATAGACTACGCTCTGTGATTATGTGAGGCTCCGCATCAGGTCCAAGACTAGCCACTGTAGCTGTAGTATTCGTTTGACCATTTTGTCGTCTTCCTCGTCCTCCTCTCTGTTCTGTACACAATCTGTTCGAGCAACCCCTTTCGCCCCACATTTCCTGCCGTCACACCACACCACCCCTTCCAAGTCGGAAGTTCAGCAATGGCAGAAAAGCACATTTTCCCATTTTTTCAAACAGACGTGCTGAGTTTCAGAATTCGTTTGGTAAAAGAATCTGAGGCAACAGCTTCACTCAAGCACAATGGCGATGACTAGGACGAAAGCTGCACTCATCGTGCTCCTCTGCATTGTAGGCCAAGTCGTGGCACCGCCACCACTGGGCGCAAACCAGGACAACCGCTCCTGTCCCATTTTCCAGTGCCAGTCTAAGTCGAAGCAGGCCGGCCGCTTCGATGCTGTGAACCCTAAATTCTCAGAGGCCTTCACGTACAGCGCGACCAAGGACCCGAACGAGGAGTGCTGGAAGGTGTGCCAGTACCACAACCAGGGCAACCGCCCCGATCCCGTCGTGTACTGGCAGTACGAACCCTTCACCGACCCCACCACCGGCGGTAAGCATGCCTGCTTCGTGCTTCGCACCGAATCTTGGGTACATTCCTAGCTCCCCAATCTCCGCTTCGTATCTCCTGCTTGCTGGCATTGGCGTACTCAATCTGCGTTCGACTCCGTCCTTGAATGTACTCACTTCGGTTTCATCCGTGCAGGTCTGTGCACGTGCTACGGCGAGGAGGTGTGCAAGGACAAGCACTTCGTCGACCCCTCGAAAGATAACGGCGTGCGCCCCGCGTTCATCTACGTTGGCAAGATCTGCCCCGCCAATGGCACCGGCGACCCGCACTTTGTCGGCGCCGACCTGTCGCGCTTCGACTTCAGCGGCCGGCCCGGCGAGGATTACGCGCTCATCTCCGACGCCCACGTGGCGGTTCAGGCTCACTTCGACGGCCGCTGGGGCGAATGGGAAGGCCGCAACAAGGCGCTGACGTGGATGCGCCAAATCAGCGTTCTGTGGGGACACCACACTATTGTGTTCGAGGCGCGTGAGGGCTGGGCTGCCGATTACGGCACCGGGTATCTCCAGCGCCTCATGGTTGACAGTGAGGTGGTAAAGCTGGGCGTTCCCGGGTCGCACCTCGAGGCCGCGTCGTTCTTTGACGGGCAGGTTGAGATTAAGTGGGTGGCTGCGAAGAAGCCGGTCAAGGACGACCTTGTTGATGAGTACGAGGTTCGCATCAGCGACATTCTCGCCCTGCGACTGACTCTGCGACCGGAGATCGAAATGCTTCGCACCGATGAGGACGGGCTGGTTCACTTCACGGTGGACGTGATGAGCGCGAAGCTGTCCCCCAACGTGCACGGCGTGCTCGGCCAGACCTACCGCCCCGACTTCGCCAGCCGACTGTAAGTAGCCGCGTTTTTCCCCTGCTTTCTTTCAAACACGAGCGAGTGCCTGTCGCAGCAGCAGCTTTTTGCTGTTGTGATTCTTTGCACAACATTCCCCCCTGACTTACACTCGAGCCCTGTTTTATTTCTTTATGAATTCAGCGAGAAGCAGAAGCTGGTGTACAGCGAGCTGTTCAAGACGTACGTGGTGCCCGGCGACAACGCTGAGGGCTTCATTGACGGCACCGTCGACGACTACAAGTGCTCCGACCTCACCCACTCCGACTGCGCCTTCTGCCGCTTCGTGCGCGCAGAGGACCTCGACGACGAGACCGCGCTCGCGGTCGAAATGGCGACTGGCGCTTCGTCCTCGTTCAGCGACAACGGCAACGCTTACTACCCCCGCAAGGCGCTTGTCGGGGCTTTCTAAATCTACATGAGTCCGAAGTCCCTCTTGAGTGTTGGGTTGGGAGTGTCTCTTACTCCATTTGATTTGCTTCGGCTTGGTTGCCTGAATGTTCTGCTCCAGGTTCTTGAACTGGAAACCTGAAATAAAATTATTTTCAACGATTTCCTTCTCCAAATGGCCGAAACGGAAACCGAGTTTCGTCAGACGGCTACATTTACAGAGCATTCTTTCGCCACATTCGCGAAGAGTATAACCAGCTCGCAGCACCGAACTGAAACATTTAGGGAAAATATGTAATTCGTAACTAACATGGGACTCGATAACATTTTTGCTTAAAAAAATAAAGGGTACGGTCACTGCAAAGGGTTTTCTCACGCGACTGATAAAACGTTTCACGTAATCAGTCACTATCAAGTCGTAAAACAAAAAACGTGAATGGTCATAGATGAAACTCCCGCCAAAATAAAATGAAACCCAAAAGGAACCTGGAAGCATTTTCGGATGAATCAACCCTCAACACGTAACTCGCCAGGTGTTTAGGGTTTATCTGTTCCCAAACCGCATCCGATTCCGATTGGGTTTTTAGTTTTTTAGAAGTTAGCAGATTGGTTGAGTGCAAGCGGGAATTTTGTTGAGTCTCCAGTTTTATTTGCGGGATTTACATGTGTGACCATTCGCGTGATTTTTTACCTGTTGTTAGTGACTGAATCC